TGGGATATAAATTTTGTTGATTTTAGGTTGAATTTGATGATCAATGTTTACCTCCTGAATAGTTCTAGAGGTTATTATTGATCTGTCTCTTTTATTTTGTTATCTTATAGGACCTCGAAGTTATAGGCTTGTCCGCATATATAGTACATTAATACGGTATCGAATTGACAATTCAATTCCGGGGGTCGATCAATCATTCGTGAGAATTGTAACTTTGTAATATTCAGAAGATCTTAAATTGTAAAATTGTGAACATCTTGTGTAAAATGTTTGAGAACAGTATTGATAAGCTTTTCCTATAGGGTGCCAGCTAAGTTAGTGAAACCTAGAAGTTAAGAGTAAGATCCAAAACAACTTTAATATGAGCAATATGACCTAATATCAATCTATTTTCAGCCTTTTTATAGTTCTGCAATCATAAATAGGTTCTTGCAATCAACTAGATCCCTAACTTTCAAGGGCAATATGTTACCATAATTTTATCATTATAGGTTTTGGATTTAAAAAAAAATGAATTAACATCAGTTATGCAATAAATCACTATCAGCTTTCTAGTTGATACCTAATTTAGTACCAGTTCCCCAGTTAATTGTCTTAATAGCACAACCTGATCAAGTGAAGGCTTCAATTATATTATCCTTAACTTTATAATAAATATGTTACAAAACTTGAATGTAGATAGAACCACCACTTGAAGAACCCACCATCAATTACATCTGAATCTATTGATGATAAGTTTTAATTCTCAATATTTTTTAATCATTGGAATGCAAGACCAAAAGTAAAATATAACTAATCATATCAGGCTTTCATCAACTAAAGTATTTTTTTTTTATATCTTATTAGACCAACACTTGGAAATGCCCTAACTTCTGAAAGTAGATTTAACATTGATTCAATGATAGATATTGACTCATAGACCCAGATCAGCCACGGCCCATGGCCCATTAAGCATTCACCCACAAATAGTCTACACCATCAGATTAAGCAAATGACAAGAGGCGCATCAGTCATCATCACTTATTACTTATCAGTGTAATAAATCAAATTTCCTACAACCGGCTTAATTTCAGGGCCTTTAACATTTGTATGTACCACAAACTTTATTTCATTCTCGAAAATTGGCTGTCAAAATTTCAACAGATGATGGAAAATGATTGGATCAAAACAGGGTATAGTGTTCACTTTAGACTGAATTGAAGAGGCCTAAGAGAATATTGATACAGAGAAGAGTAACTAGCTCCTCATACTCTCAAAACAACCAATTCCAGACCCTTTTTCTCCCCTATAAATCACCGTTTCTATTGTAGCCAATCCTAAACCGGGCCTGCATCCGGTCCTTTCACAGGGTTAAAATTCGCGTATTTTTTGTATGTAAAACGTTGACTCAGAAAAAAATTAATAAAAATTTGTCGATGAAAAAAAAAAAGTAGATCGGTATAAAAGATTCTTGTTTCCCACAAATAAAGATTCTTTTTTTTTGTTCAATTAAATCAATTCTATAAAAAACATTATCACAATGTCATTCAGATCAAACTCAATTCGTTTAGCCCGTGTTGCTGGTTCAAAAGCCTTAGCTCAACAAACCCAAAAAAGAGCTTTATCAGCTTTAGCTTCCCAAATCTCAAGACCAACTGTTGCTAAATCAGCTGGTGCTTCATTAACCAGAGGTTATAAATCAATTAACTTTGGTGGTGTTGAAGAAGTTGTTTACGAAAGAGCTGACTGGCCAAGAGAAAAATTATTAGAATACTTCAAAAATGATACTTTAGCTTTAATTGGTTACGGTTCTCAAGGTTACGGTCAAGGTTTAAACTTGAGAGATAACGGTGTCAATGTTATCATTGGTGTTAGAAAAGATGGTGCTTCATGGAAAGCTGCTATCGAAGATGGATGGCAACCAGGTGTCAACCTTTTTGCTGTTGAAGAAGCCATCCAAAAAGGTACTTACATTATGAACTTGTTATCAGATGCTGCTCAATCTGAAACTTGGAACTCAATTAAACCATTAATCACTGAAGGTAAAACTTTATACTTCTCTCATGGTTTCTCCCCAGTTTTCAAAGAATTAACTCACGTTGAACCACCAACCAATGTTGATGTTATCTTAGTTGCTCCAAAAGGTTCAGGTAGAACTGTTAGAACTTTATTCAAAGAAGGTCGTGGTATTAACTCATCATACGCCGTCTGGAATGATGTTACTGGTAAAGCTGATGAAAAAGCTCAAGCTTTAGCTGTTGCCGTTGGTTCTGGTTACGTTTACAAAACCACTTTTGAAAAAGAAGTTAACTCTGATTTATATGGTGAAAGAGGTTGTTTAATGGGTGGTATCCATGGTATGTTCTTAGCTCAATACGAAGTTTTAAGAGAAAATGGTCACTCTCCATCAGAAGCTTTCAATGAAACTGTTGAAGAAGCTACTCAATCATTATACCCATTAGTTGGTAAATACGGTATGGATTACATGTATGATGCTTGTTCCACTACTGCTAGAAGAGGTGCTTTAGATTGGTACCCAATCTTCAAAGATGCTTTGAAACCAGTTTTCAACGATTTATACGAATCTGTTAGAAACGGTTCAGAAACCAAACGTTCATTAGAATTCAACTCTCAACCAGATTACAGAGACAGATTAGAAGAAGAATTAAAAGTTATTAGAGGTATGGAAATCTGGAGAGTTGGTAAAGAAGTTAGAAAATTACGTCCAGAAAACAACTAAGGAAATATTATCTAACCTCTTTATATTATATTCACTTCTGTTTATTTTAATCAATAATGGTCATGGAATGACTTGATGTTTTTAACGAATTTATTACATATTTTTTTATCTTATTAGTATATATATATTTATTGATTTTGGGATTTATTTCACCGGTTTTAAAATTAGTGCATGAACATTGTTTAATGAAGAGACAAGTTCAGAAATACATGAAAATTGTATTAAATTGATATCTGTAGATTATAATAAATCATTATTTTCTAAACCATTAATTGAATCTCAATTACCTTGTAAGTTATACTAGTAATAACATATAGCACCAGTAATTGATCTAGATCTAGATCTGATTCGTTATTCTAGTAGTGGTCCTATCATTTATGTGACTGTTTACCGCGAATTTTCATTAAAAAAAGTGATGTTTGGATGTTTTCCGCGATTGATTTGATATAGTGAAAAAAAAATTTATATGGAAATTTGTATGAAGAATGGTATTATTTGTTTTAGGAAGAAGGAAATCAAAAGTTATATTACAAAATGGCTGTTGGTAAAAATAAAAGACTTTCCAAAGGTAAAAAAGGATTGAAGAAGAGAGCTGTTGATCCATTCTCAAGAAAAGATTGGTTTGATATTAAAGCTCCATCAACTTTTGAAAACAGAAATGTTGGTAAAACTTTAGTTAACAAATCAACTGGTTTGAAAAACGCTGCTGATGCTTTAAAAGGTCGTGTTGTTGAAATCTCATTAGCTGATTTACAAGGTTCAGAAGATTATGCTTTTAGAAATGTTAAATTAAGAGTTGATGAAGTTCAAGGTAAAAATTTATTAACTAATTTCCATGGTATGGATTTCACTTCAGATAAATTAAGATCAATGGTTAGAAAATGGCAAACTTTGATTGAAACTGCTGTTACTGCTAAAACTTCAGATGACTATGTTATCAGAGTTTTCGGTATTGCATTCACTAAAAGACAAGCTAACCAAATTAAAAAAACTACATATGCTCAATCATCTCATATTAGACAAATTAGAAAAATTACTTCAGAAATTATTGCTAAAGAAGTTCAAAACTCAACTTTAGCTGAATTAACTCAAAAATTAATTCCAGAAGTTATTGGTCGTGAAATTGAAAAACAAGCAAAATCAGTTTTCCCATTACAAAATGTTCATATTAGAAAAGTTAAAATTTTAAAACAACCAAAATTCGATTTAGGTTCCCTTTTAGCATTACATGGTGAAGCTACATCTGAAGATAAAGGTAAAAAAACCAAAGCTACTACAGGTTTCAAAGATGAAGTTTTAGAATCTGTTTAAGTTTAAGGATACCAAATTGTAAGATAAAAGGTTATTGCATTATGTAAAAAAGGAATTTCCTATGGGTTGTTATGTTTTGTTTCGTTTGTATTTATAGTTTTTTAATGTGATGAATTTTGAGTACTCATTATAATTTGTGTAAGATGGTGAAAACTTATGATTGTAATTTATGTCTCATTGAATATTCTTAAAACTTTTCAACGGAAAATGTCGATGTTTAATTTTTCATAGATCTGATCACCAAGCATGAACATTGAACGAAGAACCTATTCACTATTCAACTCAATTTACACAAATCATTAAAAGATCTCAAGCCATTCCTGTTCAGTGTTGACTGCTTCTTTTATCACTCTAGCCACAGTCCACAGTGGCACATCACCTATTTTCCCTCAAACCCCGGTCGTCTATATTCAATTCGTGGCTGTTGAAGTTTCACGTGATATGACTTAACTTTTATTGACTATTGTCCAACATTCATTCCAGAATCCAAATGGGTATTTAATCTGTTGGATATCCCTATAATTGTTTCTATTTAATACCTTTCTTACCTTTGGATCTTCTTCAGATTATTCAATTCATATACAATATTCCACACAATGTCTATTCCAAAACCAGAAGGAAACACCTTACGTTTAGGTTCAAAAGCTCCAAACTTCCAAACTGAAACCTCAAATGGTCCAATTGACTTTTATGATTACATTGGTGACCAATGGGCTGTTTTATTCTCTCATCCAGATGATTTCACTCCAGTCTGTACCACTGAATTAGGTGCTTTTGCTAAATTACAACCAGAATTTGAAAAAAGAAACACTAAATTAATTGGTTTATCAGCTAATGGTACTGAATCTCATAAAGCTTGGATTAAAGATATTGATGAAATCACTGGTTCAAAATTAACTTTCCCAATCATTGCTGATCCAAAAAGAGAAATCGCTTACAAATTTGATATGATTGATTATCAAGATGCTACTAATGTTGATGATAAAGGTGTTCAATTCACTATTCGTTCAGTTTTCATCATTGATCCAAAAAAAACTATTAGATTAATCTTAGCTTATCCAGCTTCTACTGGTAGAAACACTGCTGAAGTTTTAAGAGTTTTAGATTCTTTACAAACTGGTGACAAAAACAGAATTACCACTCCAATTAACTGGGTTCCAGGTGATGATGTTATTGTTCATCCATCAGTTTCAAATGAAGAAGCTAAAACTTTATTCCCTAAATTTAGAATTGTTAAACCATACTTACGTTTAACTCCATTAGATGTTACTGAAAAATAACTAGCCGGTGGTCAATCTCATAAATTATAGATTAATTAATTTAGTTATTCATGTTAAAAATTTAAATAATAGTACTGGTTATTATACGTTGTTTATGTTCGTTTTTTCTTCTTTTTAGTATATAATATACTTCATTATAAAAGTTCTTTTTGTATTTAATATGGGATTGCTAAGATTACCATGTAGACATTAATTTCTCAAGCGGTACAAATGTGAGATGTCGATGTATAAGCGATGCTGATTCGATATCCTTTCGATAAATCCGATCAAAAGAAGCATTAATTAATACTTAACAGATCTTGACGTTAGTTGTCCGTAATCAATTGTAAGAATCAACAAAGTCTGTTAAAAGTTATATCTTGAAAGAAGTGCAGTAGAATTATAAAACGATTTATATAATTGTATATGAAATAACATTAATAGTATAAGTGTACAGCTTGTATTAGTATTACATAGCACTGTGTATACACTCTAAAAATTTGAGTTATTCCCAGATCCTTAATCGTATCAATTATTAATAATAATAATTTCAATTATATTCAAATTCCATTACGCTCACGTGGTAGCTTAAGTGTTGAAATTTAATTATTTTATAACGTATTTCTTCATGGTTCAATCAAGGTTTTCAATGGCCACCTCATTTTGACCACTGGTGTTTTTACCTCAAAATTTCCATTTAAATAACTTTGTATATGATTTTGAGTTATGGTTAACTAGCCAGAACTCTTATCTGGTTAACCATAACTCTTATCTTAGATCCATTTTAAATATGGATATAAAAGGGTGAGATTGGTGAATATTTTTCAACCATTTGTTTCTCACCCATTTCTAAATATATCCTTCAAATTTTGGATTATCTAGTAGTTTTGTCTTTCATTAATAGACATCATAATTAAATAATTCCGTACCTTTTGAAAAGGTTTGCGGATTTATTATTTTTGAAGTTCACTTCATATTCTATTTTTTTGGGTCATTTAGATATGAAATAACCGTTAAAAATTCATTATATCTTGGTTTTTTGTGATTGTTTTGGCCAAAACTTATATGGTTTGGGGTGGTCTTATTGACTTTCTCTCAAATCTCAACAATAACAATAGCCAATGTTTGTCAATTTTTTTTAGAGCGATGGAGACTAAAAGTTCATAAAAATTCCCATGTATGGTCATTATTCAAAACATGAATGTTTTGAGGGTTTAAATCTCAAACGACCCTCAAGTGTAAGTTTTTGAAATTTTGTGACATCTCATTTTCAATTTTTGCAATATATGACCCATGTTTCTTGATTTATTCAAGAAAAATCACCTGCCTAAAAGGTGATGGTTGTGCTTCTTCAATTTGAGTTATTTGAAAAAACAATGTCAAGTATTCATGAAATGTGTTAGCAAAAGGATAATTGACGTTTCAGCTTCTGAAATATAGTCTTCATGATTTGTTAGTTTGACTTTGACATATCTGATTGAATTAGCTTGAAACTCATTAATTATGTTTCAAGTCAAATGTGGGAAATCCTAAATAGATGTTATTTGGTTAGTAGTATCAGTATAACATAAAGGTAAACATGAAGAATAATGATGGTGCCGAATCATTTATCTCACGTCCTTGATGAATCATTGAAAGGTGTAACATACTCTTTCGAAACCCAATTTAGTTGTAATTGAGTTGTTCTCTTTTAGTTTCAAATAATTTAACAGCTGAAATCTCATATGTCTCTAAATGATTGTTGGTAATATCAATTTCAAGAAGTAAATCTCATCATTGAATTCTTTTGGTAACTAATAGTTGGATATTAGGGTAAAAACAGATGATAAATCTAAACCAGTTTAACCTTTAACAATAAATAGACAAAGTGGAGCATAATATGATTGATAAATGACTGAAAACCAAACCATTAACAATAAATAGACAAAGTAAAGCATAGTATGATAGATAAATGATTGAATACCAAACAGCAGCACTTCATAAGATTCCAATATCCTCATAAATCTAAACTTGGAAGATTCCTAAAAAAAATGTTATTAAGTTAGTAGTATCAGTATAATAGGTAAGATTAAAATATAATTAAACAAAAATGATCGTGCCGAATCATTTATCTCAATTCTTTAATTTTAAATTTCTTTGATCATGAAAAATTTAACATACTTTTGATTTTGAAATCCGATTTAGTCATATCCTTAAAATTAAAAGTAATCATCCACTGAAAGCTTTTGTAAGGTCCTAAAATGATTGTTAGTAGCATCAATGGTCAATAATTGGAATCGAAGTTCTAATCAAAAGGTAATTACCTCAACTGTGCCGTTCAATTGAAATCATTTCTTTGGAATATAGCAACAATCCATTGGATTAAAGGGTATAACATACTTTTTTCATCGTTGAATTTCAAGAAATATTAGTAATCTGTCACATCAATTACTCTTTTAAAACTTCTGGCTTTATTTTCAACAGATTTAATCAATTTGATCACAAAATTCTTGAAATGTCATACCTGAAGGTGGTTCAACAGCATAAAATAAAATCAGAGAAATGGAAATAACTAATTCAATGAAAACAGATGATCAAACTGATTCAAATAAAGTAAAAAAATCCCAATAGGCACAATGATACATAATATGTTGATGAATAATTGAATACCAAACACCAGTTCTCCAAAAACAATTTCAAATCTTTGTATAATATGCTTTTGGAATACTCCTAAATGAAATATGTTAGTAGTTAGTAGTATCAGTATGATATATGAACTTGGAATTCCAACAAAAGATATTGCTCAAAAAGTTGCCGAGTCGATCATCACAACTGATCTTTTGACATTCATCCATTAAATTCAAACAAGTGAAATAACATACCCTTATTCTAAAATTTTAATCAACATAAACCAAAATTCCCAAAAGTATATCCCGCTTAACAACAACACCAGATTGAAAATAATTTGTGAATGTAAAGGACAAGCGACATGAAATACTTGTAAGAATGGTTGAAAGTTTGAATGATCTATGGAAACATAAGTTGAAGTTGGATACCAAACCAATATGGAGTAAACCCGTTTGAAATGAACAATAACAACAAACCAGTGCTTGAAACAACCATAAAACATAAAACCACCTGGTGTAATACAACATTGGAACCAAGACATAGTAATTGAATAGATGAAACCATAATCCAAGATATCCATATAGTAATCTGTTGTAGATGTGGGAACAAAAAGATGTAAACAAAGGAAGAAGTAAACAAAAAAAAAGGGAAAAAATCAAGATATTTATTTTTTTTGTGAACAACCACAAACTCACTGTGACACAAAAGTAACATGCAGCGAAAAGCTAAATTTAGCATCTTATGTATGTAATTTAATTCAGACTTAATTCAAAAATTTATTGACACAAAGACAAATTGACACAAAGATGACTAGATCTTCATTTCTTATAGATCAGAATATTACACGAGTGACGATACTCAGTACATAATCCAGCGCTACGAATTGTAAAGCCAAATCAACATCAACACATCTTCTTTATTCATTTAAACCCAAGAAGAGATAGTAAGGTAGTTTGATATCTATTTAAAAATGCTTTAACATATAATATTGTATAGGCTCTAGGCATAATGATCAAGCTAGTTAATAAATCTTGATACTAGTGTTGTATGACCAGTGATATTAATGTCGAAATTCGCGGGCTGTTTTTGACACAAATATTGATAAATCCCTTCTAATGGCTCATATTTCACATGTTAAATGAAGGAAACTAATGATATCGATATTATTTAATGTTATTCATAACATGGTGATGAGTAAATAGCTAAAAATTCAAAATTTGTAATTTTCAGTTTTCTATAAAAGTGCATGTTAATTTATGATTTAAAAATTTAAAATTGAACATATTGAAATTTTTCAAAATTTCAAACGTGAAATATAGCTTTAAAACAGCAATAATACTTATCAATGGACTATCAGTAATTCATACATATATAAATATTATAATGAAGTTAAATCTTAGATTAGTTATATCTCTTTATAAATATTCAGTCACATGATCAGAGATCACGTGACATTTTATTAAGGCGCATAAGAAATTTTTTTAAGTACAAACTTTTACGGGCTGCTACATATAATAAAGGTGAACTCTAGATCAAACTTAATAGAAGTGCGAACAATTTACATAAACATAAGATATGACAATCAATTAGATCTGAAGCTTAGAATATCAGGACTCCTGACTCCTGACTCCTGAGTTCTTATCTGGCATTATAGGCCGTTTCAACTTTCTATGTACCAAATGCAGCAACCACACTTTAATTCAATACGTAAAGGAGAAGATCTCATTATATGAAACTTAAAAAATACGCATACCTATTCAACAGCCTTGAAGATCCGTAAGGTTTAACTCAACCTTCTACCTAATATAATTACTATAGGACCTAACTTGTGATTTGAAAAAGTATTTAATATTTATCTCTTGGAAGAACGCAAGGTATTATCACGGAGCTAAAGTACCATGAGCGTGACATTATTTTTTAAATAAATGAAAAATAGGTAGTAGTAATCATCAGTTAGAAAGATGAAACACGAATTGCATGATTAGTAGTTAGTCAAGCGTCAGCTTAGCAGTACAAAGTTGTACATGACTAGGTAATTGTAATAATAACCGCGTACCAGAGTTTTCATTATGGTATTTTGGTTATTGTATTTGAAAATATTTGAATACAAATTATTTGCAGTGTCGATCGTCATTGTAATTTGTGATACATCACATTTTATGATTTAACTTTTCAATTAAGGCATGGAAAATTTATATGAAATAGACTAGCCATGCTGAACGTATGATAGACCTTAAAGGTAATATGGACATGGCCATTGGTCGGACTATGGCACATGATACAACTAACACTTTAGTCTAAGACACTTGTCAATACTAATGTTAACCAATGTATTGTAATGTTGTTTAATATAACTACTCATCCAGAATCCAGATTATACCTTAGAGTTAGAAGCTAGAAGTCTAGCGCTACGGAGAATTATAAAATCAACCATATGATGTCTAGTATTCGAGAATCGATACATTCGTTGATACAGGGTATATGTCATGATATACGGATCTATATTTGAAAACATAAGTTAAACCAGACCGCTTATAAGTAGCGATCTTTATATCTTGAAGTTAACCGAATCCGATCAGCTGGCTCGGTAATTAGACGTTAAGATCTCTTAATTGTCTATATCCCATGTGAATATCTTTAATATTTTTCCTTTTTAAATTGAATATAGCTTAGACTGAAAAGCGTTGGTCGAATATTATCCCCTATAGAAGCTAGGCTGGAAAATGTTTCATAATCTTACTACCTGGCTAGCGTGATTTTTCAAAAGTTCACAGATTGTGGCAGATTACAAAGTGAAGCAGCTAACATACCCGTTGACTACTTTCTTATAACTATCTCCGCATAAATTCACAGAATTATTGGGTGAGTTTTAATACCAGAAATGTTATTCTTCTGCAGGTAAAAGAAAGATGAAACATTTGATTATTGATGTAAAAAAGTACTCTACGAATTTGGATTTACGATTCTGATACATGGCAATTATTTTGCATAAAGACGCAGCTTATGCATCACATCATGCGTGTTCCAACAGATTTAAAGTTTCTACTTTTTCTTCTGCTAACCTTAAGTTTTTTTGATGTAAAAATGTTATACCCGAATTTGAATCGTATAAAGATGAATCAAAACCCTTTATTTTCGAAACCAAATCTATTCAACAATGAATCAATTAAATAACAATTATAAAACAATATAGATATACAATTATTATGAATTCAATAGAGTCTTTTGTTACACCAAGTGTGACTCAAATAGATTCAAATAACAAAAATTCAATCCCAGAGTCATCTTTAGATTTATCAGAACAACAATGGATAGATACAGAAGATATTAATCTCAAATTACAATACTTAGTTGACAGTTCAAGAACAAATTTTGAAGAATATGATTCTGCTCTAGATCAAGAAGATATTGGTTCTTCACCAGCAAGTTTAACTTCATATGAATCTTTATTAGGTGATGATGAATCAATGGCAACACCATCTTTCTCCATGGATAATGGATTACCTTCACCAGATATACTGAACAACACAAACCTGAATAAATATGTTCCTTTTCATAATAATTATCATCAACAACAACAGCAACAACCTCATCAAATGCATACATCACAACCACATCCGCTTTATTTAACAAATTTACCAAATGGTATGAATCCATCTCAACCAAGAAATTTAAATCCATTCATGCTAACGCCATTAGGAACACCAAGTGGATTTGAGTTGAATGAAAGTTCAGGCTCTAAGGTGTCACAATATGATATGGAACAATATAGAAGGGTAATGCAACAAACACAAGATTTTTCAGTTGCAGATATCAATTCAACAGGTCAAATCAAAGCTGATCAATTATATAGTTCCTTCCAAGGACAGTTCGTTTCAAATGAAATTTATCCACAAGTCATTACAGCAGAGATACCCACCAATACAACCTTAGGATCAGCACAATCTACAATTACACAACCTTCATCCGCTGGATCTTTAACAAATGGAGATACACCTGCTTCATCAATCCCACCATTAACCGCAAGTTATTCATCTTTATCATCTTCTAACTTATCAACACCAATGTCTGCAAAGAGAAAGAATATTCTACGGAAAAATAGAGTTAAAAAACCTAAAACTCCAAAAGTTATTTATGATGAGAATTCCAAACCAATTGCACAACAACTTCAAGAAAATAGAGAAATTTGGGAATCTATAATAACCAAAAAGAAGAAAGGTATCTATAAATGTACGCATTGTACTGAAATTTTCAAAGATCTCATAGATTTAGCCAAACATATGGATGCAAACAAAATAGCACGTCAACATAAATGTCCATTTGAAAATTGTCCTTGGTCAATTATTGGTTTACCAAGACGTGCGGAAGTTAGAAGACATTGTGCTGCTCAACATGCTTATGTTATTACATTTGACACTGATAAAGCTAGAAATCCAAATGAGCAAGCTGATGGAACACCAGTTCCAAGTGAAATGCATCAAGTTGTTGAGAAATATCGCTGTGAATTTGATAATTGTGATAAATCATTCAAAAGAAAAGATGCTTTACAAAGGCACGAAAAATTAGTTCATTTTAATCCAGAGAGTAGATTCAATAAAAGAATGGAAAAAGTACAACAAAATAAATTAAAAAAACAACAAAGTGCTGAAATATAGGACATCTTTACTTCTCAACATGGTGAACTAATGACTTAGCTAATGACTGCATGTAAATATATATACATAGATAATGCTATTAATGATAAATTATTCAACTTTCATACTATTACATTTGTACGTTAGATATTCGAATATCATCAATATACTATATACTGTCTTAGAATATATTCACTCGTGATTGTTCCACACAACCCATTTCAAATGAAAGAGAGTTGGATTTGAGAGTACTAATTGTATTTCATTTTAAGCGACGCTGGTTCCTTTGAGACAAACTCACTTCAGCTTATAATAAAATTAGCTATTAAAAACTTCTAAGAGTTTCCGATGAATCACACAGATTAATCCTTGTAATTCACGATGAACGAAGGCAGTATTAAAATCCATTGAATATACCATTCACCAGTACTATTTAGTGCAAGTCTTGATCTTGTAACTCGTATTCTTCTACAGTAAATCGAATACTCAGAAACAAGAGTCTATTGTAGATTACAATATTACAATTACGTGCTCTCCATATTCCAATAGGCGATAAGAATTATGTTGTAGATCCTTCATGGATTAAACTAATTCCTGGTTTTACCGATGAAAACATGTATCAATTTTAAGAACTTCCTAAGTTAATCCATAATGAGTATAGACTAGTGACATATGATCCCTAGTGGGCGGTGGATCTTTGCTTAATTTGATCGTAACTCCAGATTGATGTGTCAATAATGACTACAAATATGGAATCTGAAAAGAGTCTTCATTTTGATAACATCATTTCCAATTCCAGATGGAATAACCTGTAAGTACGGGCTAGTTTAGGTCAAATGGTTTAAACTCTTAAACAAAGCAATCTTCAATACTTCTAAATTAGTCCAGATTGAAATACATCTTGAATTAATAGCTTTAGTGTGTTGAATCTTGTACCTTAATACTTACCCACTGCCTAGCCTGCCTATGTTGACCGTGTTTGAAAAAAAATATACCCATATGTTTTATCTTGAAACAATGTGGGTGCCGGAAATGTATGGAACAAATTATTTTCTTAAAGCTGGAAGCTTGGGCGAGTTAACTTCAGAAGTTAGAAGCGCTGGTTAGTTAGTAAGACAAACAAAAGAAATCCTAAAAGCACTGTTTTTTTTTGATGCGAAAATGTACATGTACTATTTAGGTCAAGGAACGATGGGTACCACATCCAAAGCAGGAATATGTAGTATGGTGCAGTAGAAAAACATATTCATGCATATCGCGATGGTAAACGTTCTTATTTTTAAGCTGCCTTTATATCAGTAACTTACAAGTTATAACTTCTAAATTACAAAGTATAGGTGCACCGTGCTAGGCGGGAATAAAGTTCTATAACTTGAAGAATAGAAGAAATATAGATTTGATAGTTTAAGTTATACTCATGATGGTCATCGAGTAATTACCTTATCTTAAAGTTTAAAATTGTATGTATGTTATATACTAGTGGCTATAGTAGCCTCGTATGAACAATTAATCAACGTCCGCCAATTAGTTACGTATATATGATTATATATATGATCATTAATTCCATAGAATACGTGCTCAAACACCACCGTAATGCTATAGTGTGAAGCGTATACCCACGACTTTTGCAAGCTGAAGTGAACATTGTTTTGCATTTAATTGTAATATCTCATATTAATGACCCGTAGGTATGTGCAAGAGGAGCTATAGTACTTCGAAATCTCGACTCTCTCTATAGTTTTTTCAGTGAGTATCCGAAATGGTGGAGGTTGTTTATATTATCATATTAATGCTAATATCAGAGATATATTTATATACGGGGCTGATACTATTCCCAGCTTGTAGTATCTATAATATAGCACCATCTTACTACGTTTTTAAACTTATAAATGGTTAATATAACACGTTTCTCGATGACTGAAAATATATGCATCTAGATTCTATAGATTTAAATCTTATGATAGAATAAAGTTATATTGCTTCTGTAGTATATACGTTATGAGGATTCCAGGGTATAGTAAACAATATTATCTCTGCACTAAGTTTACAAATATACTTGGACCATCATAGATATATTATAACTAGCTGCTGATCATATACTCATACAAGTGAAGACAATGTTATAATTAGTGAACCAAGACAACTGTTGATTAGAGATAACTGCTTATTTAATTATATATATATTGATATATTTGGTATTGAAGCATGTGATTCTATATATAATCAAGTTATATATAATTCAAGATACTTCAATACTATATATATCTATTAAAATGTACATGCAAAAAGCTCTAATGATCGATCGATTCACCAGCCAGCAATATATATTATTCTGTATACCGTGGGTTCATTACTTCTAGATTAACTAGATCATATAAAATTATCACATCTATTTGAATAAGTATACTTGTTGATACGTGAGTTCACAGCTTTATGTAAACATGATTGAAAAGTTTATGAATATTGTGCGCAATTTTAAGAAACCATACGGGGAATTGCGCCAAACTCACTGATGTATTTCTGTAAGTACCGAATTTGTCGGATTATGATTACCGAAATAACAGCGGTATGAGATATTATAGAATCTTGACAGTTAATCACTCACTTTATTCGTAGTAAATGGATATAGTCTATAAGCCAAAGGGTGACTAGTTGAGATTCACCAATCACACTTGTTCAAGACTTTAGCTTCTATTCATTCTAAGGCTCTTGATATAGTCTTTGGAGCTTGACTTTGAGATGTTTTATCTAGTAACAATCATGCATATGCTAACATTCGCAGGCCTATGTAAAATTTGACATGATCAACACTCTAGTTTTACTAAAAAATACGTACATATCTTGACATTTCCAAAACGTATCTGTAAAAACTAAGAATTCATACATAATACATATCCTATGAGTTTTTTAACTTCGAAGTAAACATTTCAACTTCTGACTCTTAATACTAGTATGGATAGGTAGGTACTTTATAAACTTGATGTTTACATATCTGTTTATAGCGCAAGTTAACCAGCCGAAAAATATGTGAGATTGTTATAACACGTATATTCAATCACATCAAGAGGAGCTCAGTAGATGTGATTAAAACAGCATTCTCATTCTATATACATACGTCTGGTAGTACGCGGAGTATTTGAATAATATATATGATAGTTAGTGATAAACTTCGATGGCCCAGCTATTATATTAAGTAAGTATACAATTATATTAAGATTATCAAGTTTTTATAATGATCACTTCTGGTTCTGGGTCCGCTTAGATAGCCATGACTTTAAACAGTTTTCAATATGAAAGATCATGATTTAATATAAATATCATATGATAAGCTTTATATATATTGAAATATTATGACATGAGAGCATAGCTAGAAGATACAAAATATTCTGAACCACTTATAACACTGGCATAATTGTAAAATTACGATCATTGACTTCTTATAGTAATACGTTTACACAGCTCGAATTAAAGTTGAATGTCTAATCGCTGAAACATTTGAAATCCCGGGATGAATCGTTTTAGTACCATCTTATCAAACCTAATTAAAATAGTTATTATTAGGTATTAGTTAGCTGTTAGCTGTTAGAATATAGTAACTTCTTAGACAAACCTTAAAAATGATACATTTAAATAGAAATGTCAAAAACATATGTATATAATTAAAACAATCTTAGACATGACCAAACTACAGCTATAAATGTCTAGCCTTCATGTGACGTTTAATGATAATGGTATGTCAGGACTCAGAATATAAAATGGAATGATACACAATGCACATAGAATTTGTGGTGGTATGATATATGTTGACTAGTCAGGTTGTGTTCAGATGTTTCAGCCATGGACCTTATGGTTATAAACGATAAGCTGTCAAGTTCAATTAATGATACCAATATACGAACTGTAATCAAAAAGTATACAAAAATCTTTACAATCAATTACAAACGTTCATCCAAAATAGAAAGGTACAAAATTATCTCAAACAAAAGAATATTGATGCATTTTGTCACAAAGAATATTTATAATTATACTTTATGTAAAGTTCATTGAAGGGGGATGTTGAATTAAGTTAACTTCCTTATTTTATTTTTCAATCAACTGAATCTAAAGATTGACTTGTGGCTTGGATTAAAGTTTCTGATTCTCTTGGATCAGTGTTATCAGTTTTAACTGTTTCTTTTTCATCAGTTTTGGAATCTTCATCATCTTTTTCATCAGGAGTTGGAACTAGTTCAAAATTGATAACTAATAAAGGTTCACCAAATTCAGTACCTAATTCACCACTTGTACCTTTTTTCAAAACATATCTAACACTATTGAAATTTTCATTAAGATAATTTGATAAATTTATTTCAAATCCACCTGGTAATTTAATATTAAATTGTGAATTTTTCAAACTTAACAACCCACTGAAAAAGTCAAAATTATAAGTATGATCTTTTTCAAATATAAAATCTTCTTGATTTTTAACTTGATGGAAAATTTTTTGTCTATCTGATGATTCAACTGGTATGATTAATTTCCTAGTTGTGAATTCATCATTAACTAAATTTTCCTCAATGAAAACATTTGGAGAATCTTTATCTGGAACTTTATCATTAATGACATTAAAACTTGACAATGCCTTCCCATATAAATAAGGTTTCTCAAGGTATAAATCACCATCAACACTTGGATCAACATATTTTTTGAATAAATTCAGACCAGTTGAAGTACCATATGGTAAATAATCCTTTATAGGATATGAAAAATCATTACCAAATAAAAGCCCATCACCAGATATATCTTGATTTGGAGTAAAGCTTAATTGAATTGAAATGTTTGCATCTTGATTAAACTTGAAATATGGAGAATCTTTTGAAGATATAACATCATGATCAATAGATCCTTTAAAATCTTTTATTCTTAGATATAATTGAATTTTACCAGAAGGTGAATTGATTGTTATTGGAGACTCTGAATTAACAGGTACAATTTGAGGATTTGGATCTTCATATTGTGATGAAGCTGTTATTTTAAGAGCTTTTGTTTTTGAATTTGAGTTATTCCACCAGGACATTATATTGTACTATTGGATCTTGATATATATATTGTTTGAATAAGTTAAAAGATTAAAAGCAATCAAATTTTGAACTTCTCCAGATATGAGTATAATTGATTTTGACATATTTCTGACTCAGAAATTAGGTAATAGTGGCATGATTAAATGAAATAAAGTACAATAAATCAACAAATTCAAAAGTGAAGAGTGAAATAGATTGCTTAGATTGTTTCCTAATGTATTAATTGATCCAAATACCTTTTCTCTGGTGTATTTTCTGCCTTTGGAATGCCAATTCAATTGATTATTCTCTTACGATTTCTCGAACCTTCGTTATATGGACAACATGGTTCCATACACAACCAAAGCAATTACCACCAAAACAACCGCAATTAAACCAGAAAAACATGGAAATAACACATCATATGGCCACTTACTTATGAATATTGTACTATAATTACTTGAAACCCACTGCTTCACTGCCAATTGTCCCTGTTAAAATCGGCCTTCACTAGTCCTAGTTACCCGAACACGATGACCCTCGAAACTCAAACATTTTTATACGGAAAACTGTCGACCAGATTGCTGGCGAATATATAAGAAGTTGAGATTCATCTCTTTTGATTCCTTTTGAATTGTTTGGAAAGAACCTCATCAATATAATCAATTCATTCACAATGTCCTCAAACTCATTAGCTCAATTGAAAGCCACCGGTACCGTCGTCGTCACTGACACTGGTGAATTCGAATGTATGTATATTGTTTTCCCATATATGCCTTTGATGATCTGATAATTGGCCCCTAAAACACCCTTAGGGTAGGAAACATTGGATCAACAAAGCATTATAGAATTCAATTGAATTTATTGAATCAATTTACTAACAATTTGGAATTAGCAATCGCCAAATATACTCCACAAGATGCTACCACCAACCCATCTTTAATCTTAGCTGCTTCTAAAAAAGCTGAATACGCTAAATTAATTGATGTTGCTGTTGCTTACGGTAAAGAAAAAGGTTCAACTACTGAAGAAAAAGTTTCAATTGCTTTAGATCGTTTATTAGTTGAATTTGGTACTGAAATTTTAAAAATTGTTCCAGGTAGAGTTTCAACTGAAGTTGATGCTAGATTATCTTTTGACAAAGAAGGTACCATCAAAAAAGCTTTACAAATTATTGAATTATACAAAGAACAAGGTATTGACAAAGATAGAATTTTAATTAAAATTGCTTCAACTTATGAAGGTATCCAAGCTGCTAGAGAATTAGAATCAAAATACCAAATCCACACCAACTTGACTTTATTATTCTCTTTCGTTCAAGCTGTTGCTTGTGCTGAAGCTAACATCACTTTGATTTCACCATTCGTTGGTAGAATCTTAGATTGGTACAAAGCTAAAACTGGTGAAACTTACACTGGTGAAACCGATCCAGGTGTTATCTCTGTTAAAAGAATTTTCAACTACTACAAAAAATTCGGTTACAAAACCATTGTTATGGGAGCTTCATTCAGAAACACTGATGAAATCAGAGCTTTAGCTGGTGTTGATTTCTTAACCATTGCTCCAAAATTATTAGAAGAATTAATCAACTCTGATTCTGCTCTTCCAAAAGTTTTAGATGCTAAAGATGCTCAAAACGTTGATGAAGAAAAAGTTTCATATGTTGATGATGAAGCTACTTTCAGATTCTTATTAAATGAAGATGCTATGGCTACTGAAAAATTATCTGAAGGTATCAGAAAATTCGCTGAAGATGCTGTTACTTTATCAAAAGTTTTGGAAGAAAAAGTTTTGGCTTAAGTTTACTGATTGATTCAGTAATTCTTTTTGATAATTTGATATCTCTTTTTTAATATATAGTTTTGTTATGCTTAATATTATGACATGTTATGAAAAATGAGCTGTAGAAATTTAATATTCCATATTCTGTAATCTCTTATTGTTGAATTTTGATATCTCGATTCTTGATGTTACACGCTTATTTTTTTTTCAATCGCGATCGCGTATTCGTTTATATAAACAAAAACATAACACTAACAAATCATAACATCGACATAGAGTTAAAGACTGAGAACAACTACTTGAAAACCATGTCACAAGAGATCATTTCTGAAGTGCAGGAGTACACCATAATGTACACTTTCAATATTGTCCAAAAGATCAAGAAATGGAACGATGGGAAACTCAAGTTTTTCAAATTTAATAACAAAGTTCAAGTATTCAATGAAGATTCAATATTGGTAACTTCACAATTTTTACAAAATGATAAAATGCTTCAAATGGATACATGGGGGTCAGAATTTAAACTAGGAAGTGTCCTTGTTATGATAGAAGAAATGGTTTTTGAAACTTCAAGAGATATTTCAAATGTTTTCAAAAAGGAAAATAAAACAAAAACTATAGAGATTAAAGAAACTTCAAGAAAAATTACACCTTTAAAAGATCGAAATAATAGTCCTTCATTGCTTTTAGAAAGGAGAAGAGTTGGTTTGAGTAAAAATAGAACACCTTCAAAGTTAAGTCAAAGGAAATCACAGTTGAATGTTGGTGATGAAGTAGCTCCAATAAAACAGACAACAAGGCAAATGACTCCCGTTATAAGAAAAACACCACAAGAAGTCGATCATATTCAACATGATTCAAATTTTCTTTTGAGATCTAGAGAAAGAAAGAAAATTACACCAAGATCAAATCCAATACCCAAACCTCAACCTCAATCTAAATCAACCATTCCAATTACCAAAGAACCAACATTATTAGAAACACCAACTACCAAGACAACTACAAAACATGCATTAGATTTTGAAGATGAATTTGATGATTTAGACTCACCATCATTAATCCCATCAGATAAATTCTTCTTATTAGGACCAAAAAGGTCTACAACACCATCAAAAACAACAAGTCATAAACAAAAATCAAGGAAAAGTGAATCAAATTCAGGACCGGTATCCCAAGAAGATCAATCTTCATCAGAAGTGATAGCTCCACAATTAGAAGTACCATCTACTCAATTAAATTTCCAAAATGGTGAAATCAAATGGGACGATGAATCATTAACTAGATCAAATACAAAAATTCAAAATTCATTAAATTCATTAATCCCAAGTCCAGATAATACACCAATTCAAAAACCTATTAAAAGGATAAGTTCAAATAGATCTAAAAGAGAAACTATCAAAATATCTAAACCTAAAATACCCTTATCAGATATTTCAAATCATTCAATTCATCCAACTACTCCTAAATCTATAATACAACAAAACAAAATCAAAAAATTGAGTATTGAATCACAAGATTCTGAATTTGATGAAATTGAATCACAATCACAATCCCAATCACAAAGTATAAAAAATAAAGATTCTTTTGGGTTAAGAACTGATAAAATTACACAAACTGAGACTTATGATTTTAAGAATAGACCTAATGATGGGTTAAGAGTTAAAGTAAGTGAAGTTACTGGTAATAATTAGCTTTATATTATTCGAAATACAAGAGATCATTAAATAGATGAAAGTTTTTTATAAATGGAATACCTGGTCCTAGTAGAAGTGATACAAAGAGTGATGTATGAAGATTCTAGAAGAAATCTACCTCCACGCATAACCTTATTGGGATACCCCCATGGAGAGTACCTGGAAGTGGAAGGGTCATTATTAGGTTCCCATTAGTTCATGAATCATGTCCCGAGAACTAAAGTTCCAAAGCTGCATTTCGTCCCAAATCATGAATATCAACTCCATATATTAGGTCAATAGCTTCCAGAGCAATAATGAGTATAAATCAGCATTCAGATCAGTATTCACTGGAACTTATCAGCAAAGTAGTACAACTCATAGATGTTAATCCATATCTACTACTATCATGTTAATGACTTGTGGGGGTCACAAGGTATAACCAAATATCCAACATATTACAAAACCTCATAATACTGTAATCAAATAACGATCCGTGACCCTACACGTATATTTCGATTGACCCTATAAAGATCTAGCTACTTAGCTTATAAATTATTCATGAAGCTATAAATTTTGTTTATTAATGAAATCCGAAGCCCGAAATCTCATATTGCTACTTAGCGTATAATCGGCCGACTTTTTACTGTATAACCGATGAGAAACTAAATAGAAATTTAACGGTTACATATTACTCATACGGGTAATTTTAGCAGAAATTAGATATACATGTATTTGTCATTTGAAAGAAGTTATTGACAAGATATCATGGTTTATTGATTTTGTTGTTGGTATCAGGTTATAGACAAGTAGCTGGTTGCTTGCTATAGATAACGAATTTGACATTTAGTACTCTTGCTAAACGTATATACGTATATTTTTATACTGGATACGTTAAACGTCACTCTATTTAGTACCTCTCTTTGAAATTTAGATACAAACCTTTTGTACATATTTTGTCTAATTATTGTATCACATATCATTTATAAAATTAGTCATAGTTCATTAATATATAGATCTGTATAAAAAGTATAAGTAAATAAGAGAATCAATCTCTTTCTTCAGTTAAAAATTGAATATATAAGTTAGGAAATAAGTTAAGTCATTAAATCATAAAAAAAGCACACCATTCATGAACATCATTTCATTTCATCATCTCTAGTATAACATCTATTTGTAAATCTAATAGTTCTAGCATTAGAATATTGAACCGATTAAAAAGTAACACTATTAAACTCTGGAATCAATTGAAATTCATCTTTAACTTTATTATTCAATTCAAATTGATCCCAATTAAACCCATAATTATTATCTAAAACAGGTCCATCAATTAATTTTTCATTTAAATTAAAATTTGTACTTGTTGTTCCATTTTCAAATATTGAAGCTGGTTGAGAATCTTGAATTTGTAAATTTGATAAAGGATCAAAATTTTCATTTATTGAATAATTTGGTGACATTATTGATGAAGTTATTGAATGATTATCATCTGAATTTGTTAAATCTGTGTTTAGACTTATTGATGGTGTTGTATCATTATATAATAATGAGTTTATATTTGATTGGTTTGATAAATCAAATGATGAAGATGTTGGTGATTTATAATGATGTCTTGTAGTTGAATGTGAATGTGAATATGAGTGTGAATGGGTATGAGAATTCTGACGATGAGGTTTATGAATATGAGAAATTTCTTGATCTTTTTGAACTGAATGATGATGTTTTTTAGAAATTGGAATATTTTGTGTTATTGGTGTATTTGAATTTGAAGAATCAGAATTATCATTACTTTGAGTTGAAATTTGAGGTTGAACATTTGTAATTTCATCAATTGTATAATCATGATTTGATTGTGAAAGGTTTTTAAGTTTTTCAGTTGATAATAATGAACAAATAACTTTATTCATATCAATTTCATCATCATCATTATAAAGATTTGAATTATTAATAAATTGAGAAATTTCCATTGGAGATTTAGCCTTTTGTAATAATTGAGTCATTGATTGAATTAAAATTGAAACTCTAGTTTCTAATAAATCAACATAAGTTGAACTATAAGTCTTATCAATTTTCTTTTTATTTGTCATATATGTACAAATCTTATTATCTTGTAAACATCTTGTACAAGGTCTTTGACCATCACATTTAGTTTTAGATTTCCGACAACAATCACAAGCTTTACTAACTCTTTTCTTGTGTTGTTTATTATCAGGGGAATGTACTTGATTAACCATGACTAATTGAATCTATGTGTGTGTTTAAATAACCAAAACATTCTTTGAACGACATTTTAGTAATTACAAACCTGGGATATCAATTGTATTTATATTGAAAAAACCGTTATTGTACCTCTTCATCAAGCACCAAATGCAACCAAATGCAACCTTGTATATATTATGAGTTCATAACCAAACTTTAATCTAATATGCACATCTTTCAAAAATTCTTTTCTAGCATTTATGAACAATTTATGGGTTTAAAGTGCGCGATGCGGTTAATGTATTGTCCGCGTTTTATTAAATAAATGCCTCTTTGACAAATGAAATGGGAAGGGAGATTCCAAGGAATGAAAAGATGGATTGATGAGTTAATTCCATTGAAAGAGGTTTAGCTGTGGTTATGAGTTATGAGAGTTAAAGATGGTTGTAATAGGAGAATCTGGTTCAAAGTGTTCGGCCGGTTATACTATTATTGTATCACGGATCTTGTTCATAATCCGTTACTCATCATAGTAATATATGGCTTCCACTGACTAATTTGATTGAATCCATCGGATTCTGATCATTGAGTATTGTATATTACTGCTGGTTATAATTCTAGTTCTCTGTGATTGTATGTGGAGGTTATTTTCTACGTTACTGCTGGTTTTGTATATACGGGCCGATTAGAGATATTTAACACAACTATCAAAATTCTATGTAAACTGATCACTGAGCTAATATTGAATCAACAAAATTTAATATCCGGCAGCCTTGAATTTTGAGGCCTATAAGTTTTAAGTTTCTCCAGTGTAATTGATTAAAGGTTAACTATATATGTCTCACAATATACTAGCTTAATATCAACATGATACGATTATCAACAAGATCGGATACTTTACACACTTAAACCATTCAACACCGCATCAAATATCACTGATTCTACTGTTCCTGTCACCATAACATCTGAATATGCCTTGTACAATATTATAAGGCTTTCCGGTTGTTTAAATGGAGTTGGGTGGACTTGTAAGTTGACACTTTGTTTATATTAGTGACTCGGTTAATTGACCGTGATATTGCGCTTTTTATAAACAATCCATAACATGAGAAAATCTAGATCTACTACTTCTACAACAACTGAAGGCACTCCAAAAGTTGTGTATAAGTAACTTCTAATATAGATAGCCAAGACATACTTCAACTTCAAGTGCAGGTTATAGGTTGGTAATTATGTTGTTTTGAAAGGAGTACGGTTTGTTTTAATGTCAATCTATTGTTCAAGTCCTGAGGGTGTACTTACTTCATTTAGTTCATAACTCCAGATTTGAAAAGTACTATAAGCTTATTACAATTTATCACCCTTGTATTGATGGACCCTATTGGAACATTGTATTGACACAATTATATGAAATGTTCTATAACAATCCATCAAAAGTAAAGATCTATCCCTACCGGAACTTGAATGCCATACTAATACTCTTACGTACCACAACTAAAGTTTTGAGATCCTTAACGGTTAATCGGTTATACAGTATAATCTTGATTCAGTTCAATCCCCATAGTACATACTGTAAGTATATACGATATACTTAAATGAGAAATGAGTCGATTTAAACAATAGGTTTGATTTTAGGTGCATCTAATTAATAATTTGACACCTTTTCAATGATTATGACCTGATAATAAACAATTGAGGTTGAGCTATATCAGGATTGATCAATAATTAGGTAGAATAACAGCAACCATCTGTAATGATAATATATCCGGTATGTTGAGGTATTATGGATGTTATTTGGTTAACATTTGGGTACAATATGTTATAACACTAAAGTATTGTACGATGTTGATAAATGAATGTGTCTCATCTGGTATACCAAGAGTATTGACTTTGGAAGCAATAAATAATTTGTGACCCATTTAGCCATTTAATTCCATACTTTAATGAAGATCCCTTTAATTGAATTAAACAGAAACAATTGCAAATAATATCTCATAAGTTGATGCATATAACCTCCATGATTTTCACTTAATGACTTTATCATATACATCAAGATAGAAACTTCCATCATATTCTATATCACTGACACAAAGTTTAAATCTATTAAAATTTCCTAATCTTCCTAAATTTAAAGTTTAACCTCATAACGAATATGTCATAGTCAATGTTATCTAGTTTAATCATAAGTAGTTTACTTAACTTAACTTCAACATAAAATGCATGAAAATAACTTATATCTAACGTACTTTGATATTTTGAACAAAAGATCTAGACTTAAAAAGATCCACAAACTCTAGTAATAAATCTCCATAAGTCCTGATTATTCCGTTTTCATAGTATTAAATTAAACTCATGATAAACCTCATTCGATAATAATGCAATCAATATTGTCTAAGAATTATTATCTGATGTTTAGATGTTCAAGGAGTACGAAAACATTGTTCGTAAACTCTCCAGAGATCAACATCATGCATTATCGACATACCATCGTATTCAATATAATATAAAATATAACTCATAATCATCAAAAACATTCACCCATATAAAATTCAAATCCTTTCAATAAAATCGCACTAAATTCAAAATTTAATCATAAAGAAACAAATTCGCTGTTTTTTAAAGAAAAACAAAAAATATTACGTAAGTCATGACATAACCAAAATCTCTAATTTGTTCAAAAGATTCGAAATCAACTTGCCACCAAAAACACATAGTTAACAAGCAAACCAATATCAACAACAATTGATATCCAAAGAAACACAATACACATATATATACACAATGCAAAGATTACAGAGATTATTAGGTCAAACAGGTGGTCTTGGAGGCGCACCACCACAAGATGGTCCAGTTGTTGATAATAAAGAAACTGTTTATATTTCTTCATTAGCTTTATTAAAAATGTTAAAACATGGTAGAGCTGGTGTTCCAATGGAAGTTATGGGTTTAATGCTTGGTGAATTCGTTGATGATTATACTGTCCATGTCATTGATGTTTTTGCTATGCCTCAATCTGGTACTGGTGTTTCTGTTGAAGCTGTTGATGATGTTTTCCAAACAAGAATGATGGATATGTTAAGACAAACTGGTAGAGATCAAATGGTTGTTGGTTGGTATCATTCTCATCCAGGGTTTGGTTGTTGGTTATCAAGTGTTGATATAAATACTCAACAAAGTTTTGAACAATTAAATCAAAGAGCTGTTGCTGTGGTTATTGATCCTATACAATCTGTTAAAGGTAAAGTTGTTATTGATGCTTTTAGATTAATTAATGCAAGTAATCTGATGTTAGGTATGGAACCAAGACAAACCACTTCAAATGTTGGTCATTTAAATAAACCTTCAATTCAAGCTTTAATTCATGGTTTGAATCGTCATTATTATTCAATGAATATTGATTATAAAAAAACTCCATTAGAAACTAACATGTTATTAAATTTACATAAACAAGAATGGCAATCAGGATTAGTATTAAATGATTATCATGAAAAAGAACATAAAAATACTCAATTAACAAATCAAATGGTTAAAATTGCTGAACAATATGTTAAAAGAGTCGAGGAAGAGAAAACTTTGGATGAAGATCAATTAAAAACAAGATATGTTGGTAAACAAGATCCAAAGAAACATCTTTTGGAGACTGCTGAAGGTTTAATAGAAGATAATGTTGTTGGTGTCTTGACTGGAAGTGTTGATTCTATAGCAATTAAATAAGAGTTTTCATAGCTCGACTAATACAACACAACTTTTGTACATTAAATATATTATTGTAAGTTCTTATATACGTTCCCATATTTGAATATAAGTTTCACTCAAGAATAAAAACTCCTTTTCTTTAGTCTTGACATATAAATCTTCAATTTCAAACCAATTATCATGATGTCTTAATTGAACTTTCCATTGATTTTTATCATGATCTTGATTTGTTTCCACTTGATTAATAACATTTGAAATTAATTTATACTTGAAACCCAAGAATTCCATTTCAAGGGGGAATTCAACAAGTGTTTGATTTCGTTCTTTTAATGATAATTTTAAATCTAATTTTTGATCTTTAAATCTATTAAAATTTAAGATTAAAAATTTTGGTAATTTTAATATTTTATATTTCCTTATTTCTCCATTTGATAATAATTGTTCTTCTTGTGTTTTATAAACATCTAATAATTTTGATAATTTAACTTGTTGGATTTGTTGTATCCCTTTGGAATCTTTTAAGAATGGTACTGTGGGTAATTCAAGGTTTAATAACCAGAATTTTGTTGTTATATCTTTAAACTCTTTTGAACCTGGTTTTTGATTTTGGATTAAGATCTTACCTTGAATTGCCTTACTTAATATTGAATCATTATCTGATTTAAAAGTCTTATTCAAAGTATTCAAAAACCAAATCAAAAAATCCTTAGGATCTTTTTGTTCATTAATACCAAATGATTTATTTGATAATATAGAAATATATTGTAATAATTCATGAGGTGATATATGATTTTTAAATAATTTTGATGACCATAGTTTCTTAACTAGGATTATAAATCTTTTATTTAATTCATCTTTATATGAATCCAAAGATGATAATAATAATTTATCTCTTATTAAAGAAACATGTGATATGGATTGTAATATAACATTTGAATAATCATTATTTTTCATATTATTTAATCCAACATATCCAGGGACGTATTCATTCCCATTTAAGTCCCTAGCTTTAAACCCAGGATCATTAAATTTCTTCAAATCTTCCTGTGTATAACTTGGTAATATTTGATATTTAATATCATTTAATGAATTTGACTTAACTTCATAATTTTCCGGTAAGATATAAACTTTAAAATTATTAAAATTTATAAAAACATGATGATTTTCCAAAATACTATGATTAAAAGCCACTGAATTGGGTGAACGACCTTGAAAATATTTACCACATGTAAGACATCCATAAATATTTATATTATTTAATGAAACACTGCAAATTTTTTCAAAATCAAAATCTAATTTCTTTCGATCAATTGTGTCTAGATAAATATCTTCTGATAGTTGAGGTTTGGATCTTTTGGGTACTGGTTCTTCTGAATCACTCATATTATGATATTTGGTGGGATGGTGGGGGATCTTGATCTTTGTTATGGTATTTTGATGGTATTGTTTATATGTCAAAAAGTTAATTTTAGTATAGTGATAATAAACATCCGAACACCAACGAGATATAAGCTGCATATATGAGTTCAACAACAACTTCAACAACTTCAAAAAGATATTAGAGATAGGTCATTATCGACTACATCATTTCAATATCGATTAAGGTTCCAGTCTTACAATAACCATGCTCATGAAGTCTATCTTTGAAGACTACAAGCTCTATACTCAATTATCAAAACAGAATATCATGATAATATACATAACATAATATTGCGTATATATGATGTTCAGCAGCTGTAGACGTACGGGATATAATATAAATTTAAGCAATATATATATTTCCAATATATATTCAATACATATAGGGAATTAAATTTAGCTCTAGTTTAATTTAGCGACTTTATTAATAGTACCCGGTCCCTGGTCCATAATATTGTTGAGCCCGCTGGTAAATATCATGATTTGGTCTCGCTTTATCTCTAATAGGAAATTCATGAATCCTATAAATTGTTTCACTAATTGGATTGCCAATAGCACCACTAGTTCCATCAATAAGTTCACCTTCCTTGTAAAAATGACAGACTGGTGTTGTATCAACTCCTCGTTCTCGAGCAATTGAAGCACCATCTGCACCTTCATGAATATTTACTTGATAAAATTCAAGATTAGTAGTACGGACATCTTCTGTGAAATATTTTGCAACTTTACCTAAAACATCTGTACTGAAAAATTGGCAGTCATTTGACCCATTAACGAAGCCAATGACAATTAATTTTTTTGATTGTTCATTGTCAACAATTTGATCGAATTGATCCTTTGAAGTGATGACAGTAACGGCCATTGTAGTTTAAGCTGTGTATCTGTAAGCTGTAATATCTGATATAAGTGATTCTGAATTATCGATTCAACTGATGTATAAGACTATAATGGATTTGAATTGGTTTATATATTCTTTAATATTAATTGAAAATATTATTCATGTTTTAGCAACCGGCTGTAACAAATGATCGACATATAATTGAACAAGAGATCATGATTCGTGCTATAGTCAATCTATATATTATTATAGCATGTACGTCATAAAATGAATTATGCGTCAGGGGGTATACCGTACGCTTCATATAATTATACACCTGGATCGACATGTATATATCGTACTTGGAAAATCTGTATGAAGGCTACTACGTTATACGCTATGTATATAAACCCTGATCCCTAATATAATATATATTATATACAGTTGTGTTATAGGCCGTTATATCATATAGCCAATTCATGTAATACAATACCAATATAGTTTCAAGACTCGCATGAATTTACAAATTAACAACGTACCAAAACTTATAATTCATCATGTATTCAATTAGTCTGATACTATCTTTAAAATATCTAAAACTATCAAATTAATAAAGTGAATCCAATAATATTATATATATACGTTGATATCATCATGAGTAATTGATCAAACTTCAATATAATATATTATTATAATAAATTAGTTATAACAGGATGAGCTATGATCAGCTAGTCCTAAATTATATTCAGGAGTATTCAATATTCAATACAATGCTTCCAATACTTCAGTAAGAGAGTTAAACGAGCAAACGCCCAGTGTGTGACTTTAATCCAATAGCACAATATATGATCCAATGCACAACATCACAGAAAATATCAATATCGTACTTTGTCAAATATGATCGAATACTAGGAAAATTCAACGCGTTAAAATTTTCTATTAAATACAAATGATCGCGAAAATTTTGTAGCGTACAACTTAGGTAGTACTACAACCTACAAGTTAATACAACATGATCCATGTTTGTTGTGCACAAAATTTGTATATCAAAAGAGTATCATAGAATATGGCTGCATTTTTCATCACATGTATCTTATATATTTTTTTGATTTAATTACTTTGATAATTAAATTTATATTCATTAACAAAGTTGCTAATTTTTTTTTCAATATACTCTGGATCAACAACATTATTAGCTTTATCAACCTGTTCACCATCTGCGTAAAAGAAAATAGATGGTACACCTCTAATTCCTTGTTCTTGAAGAACTGACTCGAATTCATCAATACCAACATCTAATTTTAAAAATTCAATATCATGACATTCAGCTGTAAAACGGTTTTCAAATTTTTCTAATTCATCAGACAAAACTTTCCATGAAGCGGTCCATTGACCATAGAAGTAAGCGACAACTAATTGTCTTTGAGTAAGAACTTGATTGAATTGATCAGCTGAAGTGATTTCTGTGACCATTGTATAAGTGTAATTTGTGATATAGTTTTGAATCAGTTAAATTGGTGGGTGATGCGTTAACACTAGATTTGAGATCTTATATATACTAGTTTTATTCGAAATCCATTTTTGAGCAAACCATAACAAATGATCGACATTAATACATTGAATTACATCATCATTATCGAAAACGTAGTACATGGTAGCGTGGTTGATTGGTTTTGTTTTTTTGTAGTTTGTTTGTTTGTAGTTTGTTTGTTGATCCATGTATTAAAAGGCAAAAATTAATGAAAATTATTACCAGCTAGATGATCAAGTATGAACGATCAGAACCAAGACGAGTACTAGAACAAGACGGCCAACTAGTTCAATAATTGGAATTAGGATCGAGATATCTATAAAACATCATTATTATAAAAGGTATAATTATACACTCAGCTACGTCGATATATTCATATTCAGAATTTTATATCGACCCATTCGAAATTACAGAAAGTTCTATATTAGCTATATATATATAGTTTATTTGGTTGTACGTACTATATTATATTATATAATAAATTAAATATATGATACCTGATGTAGTAACTCATTAGTACTGGGCCTAGATAGATCTACAGATTTCAGTATAATTTTAAGCATCAACATGAATAACAAAACAATAACTTCATCATGTATTCATTTAGTCTGATACTATCTTTAAAATATCTAAAACTATCAAATTGATAAAGTGTATTTGAAATGTATTGTATTGTGATTGAATAATATACGATCAGCTTGTATAGATTGATAATATAATTTAATCAAATTTCAATATATCAGTAACTTTGAAGACATAAGCACTGTATTCAGACAAGCTTTCCAATATATGCTGAACAGCCAGTTTCAAACTTAATGCATGTGTAACTTCAACACCACAGCAGTTGATGTAATGCACAACATATCAGAAAACGTTATCACAAAACGTGAAATTGTAGAAATTCGTAACAATTGTCACTGGATCAAATATAAGAAAATTGGAAGTTCCTTTATAATTTAATTTTTGCAAATTTTTCGAAATTCAGATAGATATCGCGAATTTGTATTATAATACAAGCAACGTCACCAATTTTATATCAATCAATGCAACTTCTTAATATGGTTCAAGATTTGGTTATTTGTTTATGAATTATTGAGAGATATGATTATTAAACCTTTTCAACGTCAAGACTAGCTGACAAATTACCTCGACATTCTAAAATAATGAATCATAATTAAAGAAAGAACCGTTTGAGTTAACTCAAATGATATTGTACTAAGAAAAACATCAGAAGAGTATCAAAAAAACCACTGTATTGATCATGTCAACTATAATTATATATTGCAGTTAATTAATTGTATTCCTCAGCAAGGGTGTTAATTTTTTCTTGGACTGCTCTTGGATTACCACCAATTTCTTTATCAACAACTGAACCATTTTTATAAAAAATAACAGTTGGGAAACCTCTAATTCCTTGCTCATCAACAATTGAATTTAATTCATCAGCATCTAACTTAAGAAATTCAACATCGAAAGCATTAGTGTATTCTCTTTCAAATTTTTCAAAGGTTGAAGAAAACACGTTTGATGGACCAGACCATGTGGCGAAGAAGTTAACGATAACTAGTTTATCTTGGTTGATAGCCTGATTGAATTGATTAGCTGAAGTGATTGCAGTGACCATTGTAGAATTGTATGTATGAGTCGTATAACTTTTGAATCAATTGAATTGTGGTAAAGCGTAAAAAAACTTGAACTTATCGACGGGATCTTTTTTAGCAATTGAACAAATGATCTGCGATATCATAGTGATTGAATTACACCAGTTGAGATCGATTGGATTTGTCTCTCTGTTTCTTGATAAATACTAGATTCACTAGATTGTTTCGAATATATGTCGAATGTTAACTGGTGGGTTGCAATTTGAAGGTTAATTGAATACATTATGTATAAAACCAATTGGACATCATGGTTGATCTACATTTTGAATATAGGCTCAAAAAAGTTCAAAAAAAAGACAATACTTCATCTTGTATTCAATTAGTTTGATACTATCTTTAATTAATATCTAAAACTATCAAATTATAATGAAGTGTATTTGAAATGTATTGAAATTGAATTATATATAATCAATATACTCATATAATATCATCAAATCCAAAATCAAAATTGCAAATCAGTCCAGAACAAAGCCTTTTGCAACACTAAAGTATTCAGTATATAACATTCAAAATTCAATCATTCAACAACAGTGGTTATAAGTACTAGAACGCGTAAAAAAACATCATGGAGTTCCTCACTCAATCACCAGTGATAGAGATATAAAATTTGTTAACTTTATCTGGACTAGTATCAGGGAACGTTTAGGTGTTGCCATGAATCTTACAAACAATTTCAATTTTCTGATCTAAAACGCGGTTTTGCATGCTGGTATGGAGTTCAACCACAATTTAACAGCTACTACGTGCATATAAATCTACACTAAACACTATCACATAATCTAGTTATAGTCTTCAATGATCTCATCTACAATAATCTTTCCAAAAAAAATTAAAGATTTTTTATTATAGTATGAAAAGCCTAGCTTCAAAGCTATATAACATCAAATCTTTTAGTATCACAATCTAATCTATTAATTTTAAAAGGTATTGTAGACATCTAAAAACACTAGGATTTCTGGATGTTTCAACCTTTAGCTAGTATATAAATACCATAACAGATGATTATATTTAACAATTGTCTAATATTTGGAAGAAATTGGTATATGGGTTCCCAAATTATCATAAAACCTGGAACTATCTTGTGATTTTCCTGGGGTTACCATGTTCAGTTGTCATCACGGACATTCTGCAAATGAAATTATCTCCCATGCCATCGAAATGTTTCAGCTTTTAAATAAATTCACAGTTTAATTAAAGTCATATGGAAAGTAAATTGTTGAACGTCGACAATGAAAAAAAAAAATTAAAAAAGCGCGTTAAATTTCTTATACACGCGTATACGCGTATTTATAGCTCGCGAAGTTTCATGAGATACCTTTTATATTACCTTATGTTTGTCACAATCATGGACAAATCATTAAATTAAATATCAAATACTGAAGAATATTGAGCTTTTTTTGGTTTATGCATACTGGTAGTATATATCAAAAGAGTTGACTTCATTATATGAATGGCATAAATCCTCAAACAACAACTAGTTGCAGTTGTAATCAAATATCTATGAATATTTATAAGTATAAAACAGGACGGGTTCTACGATATTTTTAGATGTATCAAGCTAGATATATAATTGTAGGATATAATATTAATTATGTCTCATGAAAGATAACCCATTACATACTATATATCCATTTTGGAAAGTTCTTATAGTCATTAATAATTGAAATTATCAATATTGAGTAATATGTCTGATGTGAATAGCTGTTGGTCAATGTAGACCTTTCTACATTTCAATATCTTAGATTCAATTAATGGAAAAAACAGGAACTTCATCATGTATTCAATTAGTCTGATACTATCTTCAAAGTATCTAAAACTATCAAATTGACGATGTGTATGTGTGTATTTGAAACGTATTGAAATTAAATATATAACCAACATGTGATCATTCAATCTAATATATCAAAACATTATTAAACTCAGTATCTTTTCATAATTAAGAGTATAAAAACTAGAACAAAAAGCATTAGTGCATTAAGATTTTTCATTGGGAAGATCCAAATCTATGATATTTTAGATTCCATTAAGCTAAAAAGCTAGCCCAAGATCTAAACCTGATAGCTTCAAAAAAAACATAATTGAAAGATGTCAATCCTAATTTAACCAAAAAATAAAAAAACATAATCAAAATGTGTTGTCAATATTACCTTGATACACGTAGTATACTCAACATGTATAGGAAATTTTTAAATTTTTAAGAAAGATCCAATATGATAGATCGCGAATCTGTACTATTTAAAATTGAATCTCAATCAACAAGCTCTACAGACTTATCTATATATAATATTCAATCATATTAATTATGATTTTAAGCTGGAATATAATTCTACAGCTCTTTAAGCAATTCAAAAAACAATAAAGATTCTTTATTATATATATCTAAAGTCTAGCTTTAAAACTATATATCAAATCTTTTAGTATCATATTCAAAGATCTATAAATTTCAAAGGGTATTGTAGACATTGATGATCAATGGTTCAACCTCATTGTCATTTATAGATGAATACTTCATATAGATTATTTTGATCCAATGGGTGCCCGATAAAACTCCCAAAAACATTAAAAGAGGCAAAAGTGCACAAAACATCTAAAATTTTAGCTTAACCTACATCAAAACAGATATAGTAAATTAACAAAACATATTTGAAGAAGAAGAATACCATCAATCAGTTTGTCTGAGAGTTATAAAATATATCATATTCAACAGCACAAAACCAAGAAAAAATATGACAGAATATCAATACAAATAAATTAAAAACAAACGTATTAGTACTAAATTCTAATACAATTTTAAATTTTCATCCGTTTGATATCCAATTCGCGAAATTTCATAATTTTTGATAGCAGCCCTAATTTTTCTTAATAAGAAATTATCAACAACCCATAATTGCCATTTTGCCACAATCAATTAAAACCACAACTAATACATTAATAGTTCAATTTCAAAGCACGTTACAATGGATTTGTCTCTGTGTTTGTTGATAAACTCTAGATTCACTAGATTGTTACGAATATATGTCGAATGTTAAGTACTGGTAGGTACAATTTGGAGGTTAATTGAATACATTATGTATAAAACATAAAACCAATTGGACATCATGATTGATCTACATTTTGAATGTAGGCTCAAAAAACTTCAACAAAAGGACAAAACTCATCATATATTCAATTAGTTTGATACTATCTTTAAAATATCTATAACCATCAAATTGATAAAGTGTATTTCAATTGTATTCATGAATTTGAATTATATATAATCAACATATAATCATTCAATCAATTATCAATATATCAATATACTAGAGATTATCAAATTTATACTTTAAACCAGTATTTGAATATCGACAAGGAATTCAAACAAGAATGAAACAATTGATCATAACATGATCTGCACCCATTAAATACTATTATATTGCCACTATCATGACAGATCAGTTAGAGATTTCTATTTCATACAACAGACAGCATGCACAATATGAGAGAGGGTATAGCTGGTAAGATTCACGGACTAGGTCTTATGATCATAGATTATTGAAAGTTCCTTAAATTTTGCAAATTTTTCGAAATTTATATAGATCGCGAATTTGTACTATATAAATCAAAATTAAATCAAGCTAAAGCCCTACGACATATATATCATGATTCATAAGTCTAGATTAATCACAATTTTATATGAGCTTAATATTTATAATAAAATAATGTAGTACTACAACTCGACTTTGTCCATTTTTCAAAAAATATTAAAAAGATTTCTATTATATGTCTATAAAGACCTTCTTTAAAACTATATAACATCCAATCTAATTCAGTAGATTCATAATCAAATCTATTAATGAAATCAAGAGGTATTGTGGTCATTGATGATTATTTCAATGGTTCAACCTTTTAACGTATATGAAATCCATAATAGATGATGATTGACAATCAATTTAATATCTTCAAAACTAGAAATGAATGTATTTAAATTAAAAACAACATTAGAATTGTTAATATAACCATCATCAGTCAATTTTAACAACTAATTTTATCAGCAAACGTCAATGTCAATGACCAATATATCTGCATTCTAGTACAAGCATTGAAGAAAATTGTTCTGAAAGAGTCAGTTTTTTCAAAGATGAGAGACACTTTTGGCATTAGAAGGCACACATAAATATTAATGTATCATAAAATTCCTCCAGCTTATCAAGAGTCTATAAATTTTATATTTTTATGGGGTTTTTTTTTTTTCATACAAGCTAGATGATTATTCGCGAGATTTCATTTTAGCTGTTGCCAGTTGGTCATATATGTAGACATTTCTACATTTTGATATCTTAGATTGAATTAATGGGAAAGAAAGAAACTTCATCATGTATTCAATTAGTCTGATACTATCTTTAAAATATCTAAAACTATCAAATTGATGAAGTGTAATTGAATCAAATGTATTGAATTTGAATTTATTTTTACCAACAAAATATGATCAAGTTAAAACTTAATATCAATATATCAATATATCAATATACCAAAATAGGCCCAATTGGTCATGGACTTCGTCTAATTAGTTCAAATATAATATAACAAGATCAATAGAGTTTAGTTGATTGTATTTGGCCAAAAGAAAGCGCCGGATGGAGCTGATAAATAAATATATCAAATTTTCATATTATCACTAGTAAAAATATCATTTGTCTGAATTATATCTCTCAAAAAAAATTTTCATCCCAAGATTTCCAATTGAAGGAGTACTGGTTAAAGATAGGCTATTTGCGTGATCACATCTTCACTAATTAAAGAATTAATGTTAAAGTACTTTGCTAGTTAAAAAATTTACACTAGTCGCGAATTTGCATTATTAACATATTGTATAAAACCAAATCCAAATATTTACACAAAAGATCTGACCATCTACAATTGTTTAAATCAAGTATTTTTGCTTGAAAAACGTTAAAAAGATTCTGTATTATATATCTAAAGTCTAGCTTCGGGACTATATATATATATCAAATCTTTCAGTATCATATTCAAAGATCTATAAAAATTTCAAAAGGTATTGTAGACATCGAAATATCAATGGTTCAACCTTTTTGTCATTTATATAAATGAATATTTCAATATATAGATTATTTTTGTCCAGTAAGTGCCCATTTAAATTCCCCAAAAACATTAAAAGATGCAAAGGTGCACAAAAACATCTATAATATAAGCTTAACCCACGTCATTAAAACAGATACAGTAAATTAACAAAACATTTGAAGAAGAAGAATACCGTTAATCAGCTTGACAGGGAGCTATAAAATACATCATGTTCAACAGCACAAAACCAAGAAAAAATATGACAGAATATCAATACAAATAAATTAAAAACAAACGTATTAGTACTAAATTTCAATACAATTTTAAATTTTCATCCATTTTGATATCCAATTCGCGAAATTTCATAATTTTGATAGCAGCCCTAATTTTTTTATAATAAGAAATTATCAACAACCCATAATTGCCATTTTGCCACAATCAATAAATAATAAAACAACCACATTAATAGTTCAATTTCAACGAATATATATCACAATGGGTACTTGTTTAGCAGTTACTAAAATCATTGGTACCACATCATTAGGTATCTTTGCTGGTTATTCAATATCAAATATATCAACTTATGATATTTTAATTAAAGTTTTATCACAATCAAATTTAATTGATTTTGCACAATGGAATGGTAAAATTAATGAAATATTGGTCAAGAATTCTATTGTCCTTGGTGGTCTTGGTGGTATTAGTTCATTATTATTTGCTTTAAGTTATAATTCTTCACCTTCTAGTGGTAAACATCCTTATTTAATTTATGCTTCATTAGTGTTACCAATAAGTTCAATTTTAATTGGAATTTTAGGTAAGAATGAAATTTCAAATTATTTAAAATTAGATTCATTAATTGAAAAATTTAAACAAGGTAATACTATAAGTGGTGATAATGTTAAACAAGTTAAACAAGTTATTACAAGTGAATTAGATAATTCAGTTTATAAAGATCTTGGAGATGATTCTGTAAGTACAACTTCTGAACAAGATCAAGATCAAGAACCTATTACACCAGAGGGACAAAATGAAGATGATGAAATTTCAAAAGAAGTTGAAATTCATTTAAATAAAACCACAATATTAAATTTATTAAATAAATTGAATTTTATTAATAAATTTATTAGTGGTGTATCAGTTTTAGGATTTGTTATTTCAAGTATTGGTATTTATGGAGATTATTGAATAACTAAGTTGTTGTTGTTGTTGTTGTTGTTGTTTATTTATATAATATTCTTGGGTTTCTATATATAGTTTAATACATTGTTTTGTTTATGTATGTATTAGATCTAGAAATGGATGTGGGCAGTACAAGGCGTAGAACAATAACATGGTAACATAACAATACAATACAATATAATATAATAATGTAACTAATAATATTACTAGTAATAACCATCAATCAACTAATATCAACTAATATCACCAATAATCAACTAATAATATCACCAATATTGTGACTAAATGGCCCAATTCTTTCAATGACTCTTATCAGAATTGTTGATCATTTGATAACAAAGCACGTCATTCACACGGAACAAAACCGGAGTAGAAGGAAGGCACACAGGGCTCTAGGCAGACGGCGGTTAATGACCTAGACAGAGACTCTGCCTAACCCCCGCCTACAGATTATTAGTCACCCCCGGAACATTCTGGAATCTGCTGGCAATTTCTTTTGCAATGATAAGGAAATTCAATTTTTAGATTGCGGGTTTCAGAAATCTAATAAATAAACAAAAATCGCCACTTTACAATTCATTTCTTTTACAAAACATCAACATCAACAAAAGATACACAAGAGTTCAAAGGGAAGAAGATCAAGATAGAAAGATCAGGTCATAGACCATTTGCTAAACAACATTCGCTAGTTAAGATACACACAAGATACAAAAATGACCACTTTTCAAATGCCTCCACACCAATTACAACAAGATCTAGTATCTCCACCACCAAAGATTGATGAATTTATCGCATATGAAAATGGTGTCTTATTACAAAATAGATATTTAAAATTAGCAAATATTCAAGATGGTTCTTATGGGAAAGTTTCTGTTGCTTTAGATACTTGGGAAAATAATCGTAAAGTTGCCATCAAGTCAATGTTTAAATCAAATAAAGGTGTTAGTGCTATTGCAAGACATGAAATTTCCATCCTAAAGAAATTAGGTTCAAATTGTGAAAATATTTGTTCATTATTAAATCATTTCCAAACTCCAGATTATTATTTCTTAGTTTTTGAATATTGTTCAAATGGTGATTTATATGATTACCTAAAGAACATTAATAATCATTTAAATCCAAATTTTAAAAATGGTTCATTAATTTTCTTTAAAAATTTCATTAAAGAATTAATTAATGCTATCAAATATGCTCACTCAAAGGGAATTTATCATCGTGATATAAAACCTGAAAATATCCTTATTGATTCTCATGGTTCAATAAAATTAACTGATTGGGGTCTTGCAACTATGCAATTGAAAAGTTATGATCCATGTATTGGTACAGAAAAATATATGTCACCAGAAACTTTTTTCAAAAAAATCAAGAATCCAACTCATTTAATTTCATATAATTCAATTTATTCAGATTATTGGTCAATTGGTATTACAATTTTATATACATTGTTTGGTTCATGTCCTTGGTCAAAAGCAAATACAGTGGATTTAAATTTTAAGAAATTTTTATCAAATCCTGAAATTTTATTTAAAATTTATCCAAATTTAACTCAACATGGGTTTGAAATTGTTTTAAGTTTATTACAAATTAATCCTGAAAATAGATCAATTGATTATTGTCTTGATTTAATTGATGGATTTTATAACGTTGGTTTAACTTATGATCAAGAAATTGATGATACCTCAATGGATAATCAATTCAATTCATCAGATGATTCATTTATTTTCGGTATGGATGAATCATTACCAACAACAACTACAACCTCAACAACTCCAGAAGATTCAATCATGAAGGATTATATTCAAATCCCTGTAAAACCTCAACAACAACCAGAATCACAAGATTTACCACCTTCATTAGTTTCAAATTCTTTCCCAACAAATTTTTCATGGGCTGATGAAGTTGATTTAGAATTACCATTTGATATTCAAAAATTAGATCAAAATATAAATTCTTTTAAACAATCATATATGAATAAAAATCAAGATACTGGTATATTGAGAAATGAAACTCCAAAATTTGAATTTGATTGGTGTTGAATCATTACGTACTTCAATTGATACATTATACCCAACTGGCATGAATTATAATCATATGATCATTGCATTTTACTTACATTTACATTTTACAACATTTTAACGAAAAAAATCATGAAAAAAGCATTTAATCTTAGCAGGTTCTAAGATTTCAATTCAATTCTTAATATTAATGACAAATAAAACCAAAAAAAAACACAAGAAGAAGAATAAAGATAACACAATAGAAAAACAAAAACATCTAGAAAATTTTATTTAAAACTAATGATCGAAACAACAATGTTTCAACATGAAGAAAACATGATAAAATTACGAGGCATTTTATATAACCTTAAGAAAAGGTTTGCATTACTTATAAAAAGGGTTTAGATTATATTACTTGTACATATAACAAGATTTTATTAGATTAGATTTAGAATTATTTAATTTATGTTTTAGATTTCCCTTATAAATTTATGTTGTAGTATGGTAAAGACTACTTCTAGTTGGCCTCTATGTATAAATGTTCATATATGTACATCATTATAATATATAGCTAGCCTACTCTCTATATACATGTAGTTAATCATTAAATTTATATCCAATTGTATTTCTCTTATAACCTTGCAAGATTATCAATATCATTAATAAAATCCTTCTTATCATACATTTCAATATTTTCAACATTATGAACAATAATCTTTTCACAATTAGGATCTAATTCAAATACAAAAATCCCATAAATAACTCTTTCAAATCCATCATCATCATATTTTTTAACAGTACCATCATCAATAAAATTTTCTTTTTGCATTGAAGTATCTTGTCCCCAAAGTTTTTTGATATCAAATTTATCAAATATATGAGAACCTTGCTTTGCCGTACTTGATCTTTCCACAAGATGTTCACATTCATCTAAGCAAGTTCTCCATTTAAATACAATTTTTGTACTCCATTCATATATCCCATATCCTGATTTCCCAATACTTGAACCCAGATTTGAACTAAATTCACCATGATCCTCTACTTTTATATCAGTTATATGTAATTTAACTTTTGGATTCAATAAAAAGTTCGTCATTATAAATTGTGTTGCCTTAAGGGTTGTCAAGTATGATACTCGACCTTTTAAAATTGGTAAATTTGTTATAGTTGGTGCAACTCTTAATATTATATCATCATCAAGATACTGAGAATCAGAAACTGTATGTAAAGCATCTGGTATTATGTTTCGAAGATGATCTATTATTTTCCCTATATTTGCCTTTTTCTGTTGATGTTGATGTTGTTGTTGTGATGGTTTTGATGATGGGGTAGGTATTGAATATAATAAGATTGATGGCGATTGTTGATATGTTGTTAATGAAGTTATTGAAGTGATGTGTCTGATGACCTGTCGTTTCTTAAGTGTTCGTATAAGCATTGTATAATTTGAATACAGATCTTTATTTATCTTTGAGTCCTATCTTTCAAATAATGATTTGAAATTGATCTAATTGAATTTGATTTAATAGATTGTTTGATTGTGATTATTACCATCTAGCTATGTTGAATTCCGACTATTTACTATCAGGTGACGCATCAGCTGATTTGAATTACGACTCGGTAATACAGAATTTTTGACATATTTTTAATCTTATCAATTTAACCATTGGACATTCACCTTTTCAAACATTGATCATTGATGCTTCCTAAAGATCATTATCATGCCTCAGATATATGACTCTGGGGATCCAAACTTACCAAATTTACCACATGAACTTAGTGATTATAGTGAAGAAGATGAAGAATTTACAGACTTGGAAAGTTTAACAGGTGAACATCAAAAAAGAAGACCATCACAATACTTATTTGATAATGAAGTATCACAAGCACAACCTCCTCCTACAGCACATATACCACCAGCGTCATCACAAAGCACCACGACAGAGAAATCAGAATTGGAATCAAATCAAAATCCTCAAAAATCACAATCAAAAAAGAGACATAATAGACATAAGAGAAAGAATAGAAAATATTCAGATTCTGCATATAGTTCCACTGCTGCTAAGAAACGTATTTCATGGGAACCTGGTATTGATATACATACTACAAATGTTGTGATGAACTCAATTGGTTCTTCTATAACTGTAACAGATTATAGATCTGATAGGTATAGAGTTGAACATTGTGAAGTTTTCTCAAATATTTTGAACTCAGTAGAAGTTGATACTGATAGTGATTTTTACTTAAACAAGAATGATTCTATGGAATATGACCTGAAATCAAAACAAAGTGTTTCAAAATTTAAAAAAATTGTGGAATCAAGACCTAATTGGTCAAAAGTTCGTTGGATAAATGTTAATGGTCTTTCATGGGAAGCTATTGCTACATTAGGTGAAAAATATGAATTACATAGATTATCAATTGAAGATATGATTGATATTCCACAAAGAACAAAAGTTGATATATATAAAAGTCATTTATTTTCTGTCCTTCCAGTTATTAAACTTGTTAAATCTAAACATTATGGATCAAATTCTGATGATTCAATATGGGATAAAATATTGAAAAAATTAAATCTTTTCGATTATTTAGAAGAAGAACAAGAATTAAAAGATGATGCTAATTATGGGGTTTCAGATACAAGACAACAAAGTCTTTCAGAACGTATAACTACATCAAATGAATCAAGAAGATTAAATGAAACAATAGTTGCCCAATCAAGTTTAAGTAAAAGAAGACATAGATTATTAGATGATCAAAGACCATTAAGTTATAGAAATTTATTTGTTGGTGTTGAACAATGTTCTATCTTTTTAACAAAAGATAATACTGTTATATCATTTTTTGAAAGTTCAGGTGATGATATTGGTAATGCAATATTAAGTAGAATTTCAACAGATGAAACTATTTTAAGAACTTCATGTGATTCTTCCATATTGGTACAAAGTATTATTGATTCAATCGTGGATATAGTTTATCCAGTTATAACAGCTTATAAAAAAAGATTAAGTGAATTAGAATTAGATGTTTTAACAGATTCAAATATGAGTCATATTACAACTTTACATTTGATGTCTGGAGAATTATCCAAGTTAAGATCAAGTATTTTACCAACAACTGTTTTGATAAATTCATTAAAAGATCAAGCTAAAAAGCAAAACTCTGAGAAAAAAGATATTTCAATACAACCTTCTTCTTCTTCATCTTCACCAAATTTGGTATCATCAGTTGCTGAACTTTATTTAACAGATGTTTCGGATCATACACAAATGTATACAGATGAAATTGAAGGTATGATTAATAGTATAGAAAATTTAATTGGGTTAATATTCAACACCACATCAAATGAATCAAATAGTGCAATGCAACAATTATCATTAGTTACTGTTATTTTCTTACCATTATCATTTTGGACAGGTTATTATGGTATGAATTTTGAAAGTTTTGGTGATTTACAAAATAATGTTTCTTATTATTGGAAAATTGCTATTCCTTTTAGTTGTGGATTATTGATATTGATCACTTGGAGTTTTATTAAAAAAACAATTGTTGAAACAAAGAGGAAAACTAAGAGAATGATTCAAGATATAAATATTAATAGAGATTTTAAAAAGAGACAAAATAGAAAGAAACAAAGAAGGGAGAGTAGATCAAGAAGAACTAGTACCTTAGAAACTACTGATAAAATGGTCTAAATATTCATATAAGTCATGTTATTAAATTGATGTTCTCTATATTTTCTTTAGTAGGTTGTGAATTTTATTTAACCTTTTCAGTTAATTCTGGAACAACTTCAAATAAATCACCAACTAATCCAATATCAGCAACATTAAAAATTGGAGCTTCTTCATCTTTATTAATAGCAACAATGGTTTTTGAATCTTTCATACCTGCTAAATGTTGAATAGCACCTGAAACACCAACAGCAACATATAAATCTGGTGCAACAACTTTACCAGTTTGACCAACTTGTAATGAATTATCAGTAAAACCTGAATCAACAGCAGCTCTTGTAGCACCAATACCTGCACCTAAAGCATCAGCTAATGGAGTAATTAATTGATCGAAATTTTCTTTTGATTTTAAACCACGACCACCTGCAACAACAGATTTAGCAGATGATAAATCTGGTCTTTCACTCTTGACTAAATTTTCTGAAACCCATTCAACTGAAGATGATTCAACTTCTGGAGTTAACTCTTCAATTGGATAAGAATTTGAGCCTGAAGCTTGAACAGGATCAAAAGCTGAAGGTCTAGCAGAGATTAAAACTTTTGAATCTAATGATTTAACAGTTGTAAGAGCATTACCTGCATAAATTGGTCTAACAAATGTAGTTGAATCTTGAACTTTAATAATATCTGAAACTGGTTGAGAATCTAATAAAGCACCAATTCTTGGTAAAATATTTTTACCAACTGCAGTTGCAGGTGTAATGAAATGTGAAATATCTTTTGATTCATCTTGAATTAATTTTGTTAAAACTGGAGATAAATATTCTGGTAAATTATGATCAAATTCATTATTTGAAGCTAATAAAATCTTATCTAACCCATCAATTTTTTGTAAATTTTCTGCAGCTGATTTAGCAGATGAACCTAATAAAATGGCAATGATTGGATTACCAATTTGTTTAGCAGCATTTAAACTTGATAAAGAAGCTGAAGAAATTGAATCACCTTGAGCTTCAATGAATGCTAAAGTTGAACCAAATCTTTGAGAATAAGATTTGAAAGATCTCAATGGTTGTAGTCTAATTGATCTGAACATTTGTGTTTTATCCACCAGGGACTGTTATAATTGAATCAGAGAAGAAACTAAAGAGAAAATTAAATATATACCCTTCTTCAACACTTTCCCTCTATGAAATCTTCATTCAAGTATTGACTTTTATTCCTAAAAAGGTTGAAAAACACCTTGACAAGAAATACGAGGGTATAATTGCACGTGATTTGAATAGTCGGATTTCGTTTTGTTTTTCTGCCATTTTCAACTGTGTCGATTCTCCGAGGTTTTCCGATGTGTCCCCGAAACCAGGAAATTTGGAAATGGTTTACGTAATACGCACTGGTTCACAAAGGCCCGTTGAAAGAATCTCGAGAGTTACGTACTCAAGTTTTGATTGATATTGTCTGTGGTCTGATTGTGGTTTTCTCATAGGCTTTATTCAGGAGTTTGAGCTGGTTTGTGTTTTATTTCAGTCTATTGTTTGAAGAAGGATCTTTTAAAGTTGGTTATATACGTGACAAGTTCTGAGTATTAGGTATAAAAAACCGTTTGAGAATTTTCGTTATCAATCATATACAAAGTTTCTTTATTGTCTTCTGACATTACCATATTAGTGGAAAAGTTATCATCTCATGAATATTAAGTTTGAAATGGACTCAACATATACAGATCTTGCTAATAGAGCATTAAAATTATTAGAATCTTCAAATAAATATAGAATATTAATTTTACTTATTGGTGCACCCGGTTCAGGCAAATCAACAATAGCACAAAGAGTTGTTGATATTTTAAATCAAAAACATTTAGAACATAATCAACAAAGTAAAACCAAGATAAAAACTGAATATAAATCAAAAGTTAATGATCATTTAAACAATTATGATGAACATGCACATATAGATATTGAAGATTCAGAATATATACCGACAAAACAAATTTCCCAGCAAGGTGATTTAATAATAAGAGGTCGTGGTGGTGATGATACAGCTATCAAGATATCTCATAATCATTCTGAAAAAGATTTAAATTCATTTGCACAAGTTGTTCCAATGGATGGATTTCATTTACCAAGAAATATATTACATAAATTTAAAGATCCTGGGAATGCAATAGCAAGACGTGGTTCACCATTTACATTTGATTCATCATTAGTTGTTCAATTAGTGGAGAATATAAATGAAACTTTAGATATCCCATCTGATGGTATAAATCCTTTAGATATTGCAGATTCAAATATACCAAATATTCATATTCCAAGTTTTGATCATTCAGAACATGATCCAAAACCTTTTGGAACAACAATAAATTCAAATTCAAGAGTCTTGATATTAGAAGGATTATATTTATTGCTTAATGAACCAGTATGGAATAAGATATCAAGAACATTAAATCCAAATATTAAATATGAACCAATTGATCCAAATCAATTAAAACCAACAAATCCTGAAATTTCAATTCAAAATAATTTAAAATCAATACCTATTCCACAAAATAAAAATCATGAATTTTGGAAAATAATAATAGATGATAATACAATGCTTTATAGAGTTGGTAAAAGACATTTAAATTCTGGAATTGTTAAAACTTTAAAAGAAGGTGAAGATCGTGTTAAATTAAATGATTTACCAAATGGGAAATTAGTTTATAAAGAAAGTTTTAAAAGTGATTTAAATATTGTTAGTATTGATGATATTAATGAAAGTACACCACAATGAAGATGAAGAATATAATGAGCTATATATAACTTATATAATTTTAGACATGGAGTTTATTTATAGAGTATAGCTGTTGTAGTTTATACTACATCGGAGTTTAAAACGGCTGAATGTAAAGTAATTATCGCGGGGCAAACTATCATGGAGTTACCCAATTATGCTTATATAAGATCTCATCAACAACATATATAAGTACTTGAAAATTAAGTCAATATGGTAATATATCGAAGGACATTAGCTTGATATGTTATCTGTTAGTTAAATGATCATTATCAAAATATGTATATCTAAGTTTTAATGGATTGTTTGTGTGTATTGCATGATCTTATACAATGATTATAAAACCTCACCTAAAGATGTAATGATTACAACATATCAGGAAAAACAAGGATCATATTCTGATTGATAATATTCTTAGACAGTTGGACTAAGTCTTTCTTTTGAATATTATATTTATTTCCTATCCAGAAAAAGACTTTTAATCTCAAACTCAAACCAATTGAATTACTTAGTTTGTTAACTTTCAGTTAGATCATAAACCCTTTTTTCAAGTAATTAATGGCTTTCAATACAAGTAACCAACATTAAGTATAGACACACATTCATCCTTCATTTATTCCAAAAGTGCAGATCATATTAATATAATTTAATTTTGTCTTAAAAGCTTTGAATAACATGCAAATATTTCAATCAACGTACGTCAACACAACTCTAAACCAAGACTCAATTATTATTAGCACCAACTAAATTAGATGAATCACAGTCACAGTGTTGTTGATTTGAAAGAAAGCATATATAACATTTAATTCGTTCTTGATATTGAACTTATATGAATGTAACTGATATTGAATTCATGAGTTCTAATTTATTTGTGTGTAAAATACTTTTATTAGTCAATTTAAATTAATTACCAAATCCGTCAACTTTACCCGAGCTCTAAATTCAGTTAAGCGACTCGCTATAATTAACCGAATCTGGACAAGACAATAAGACTGCAAAAGCACAAAAGCACCCCAGATTTTAATAACCAATAAATTTAAAATGCAAACTAATGTCAAAATTACGTTTCGATCAACAGTATAACTACTTTATATGTCATAATTTCATGATGGCAGCTATTGTATGTATATTTATATAAACACTAGCTTGTTTGTTAGTAATATAATGTCTTTTGATGTTTGCTCATGTTTGCTTCTACTTAAACTTACACTAATTCTACATGTATCTAGTTCTAACAAATATGAAACTCATATAATGAATTTCAATGTAATAAAAACATTTATTTGTCGAGTCATATACTTTAATCTTCATTTCTTCTTCCAAATTTTAAACCAAAACCAAATAAACCAATATAGTAAAAATATAGTGTAATAATCCATGTTATAAAAAAAATAAAATCAAATAAAAAAAATGAAATAAAATCAAATGTCATAAATAGTGAAATAAAAGAGTGAATAGTAGTAAGTAAATAGTATTATGTAGCTTTGTGTAGTCATGAAAATAATAGTTCTGTGTTTTTTAAAATTAAAGTGTCATAAAAATGTAGTTGTTGTTCTATCTTGTTCTTATTGTATCTTGATTATATGCTAATGCCTTGAAATGATTGTGAGTTATCATGCCCTTAATTTTTTATCATTATTTAATTTCCGTCTATTCAACATTGTATTATCATCAAATCTTAAATTAAAAGTATCAAATTCTTTAAATCTCATATTTGAACTTTTTTCATTTTTTCTTTTACAATGATATGGAGACATTGAATACTTATTTTGATATGTATAACTTCCAACTTCTTCATCTGAATCATCTTCATCCCCTTCATCATCATCTTCTTCATCTTCTTCATCATCATCTGAAGAAGAATTTGATGAAATACCTTGTTCATCTTCTTCATTAAAATAATCATCAACTAATCTTCTTAATGGTGTACCAATTCTTTGTATGGAAATACCTGTATCTAATGCACGTTTCATAGCTTCAGCTCTTGGACTTAAAGGACCATTATTTTGTAATGATGAAGCCATTTTAGGTATAACTTCTTCAAATTTTAAACCTTTTGTTGTAAATGGTTTTGGTGCATCAACAGCGGGTATACTTAATTCCTTTTCTCCTGTGATCCAAGGATGTTTCAATACTTGATCAGGTCCATATCTCTTTCTTGGATCTACCGTGAGTAAATGACTTACAAGATCTTTAGCTTCCTGTGAGATTTCATCCCACCATGGTGATAAAAAGCAATATTCACCTCTTGCAACTTTTTTAGTTAATTCTTCTGGATTTGAATCATAAAATGGTGGGAAACCACATAATAATGTATATAGGACACAACCAACACCCCACATATCAACAGATTTTGAATATGCTTCATCTTTAATAATTTCAGGTGCCGTGTATGATGCAGTACCACATGGAGTTTTAGTTGTTGCTTGATCAAATAAAACTTTTGATAATCCAAAATCTGCTAATTTAACTGTACCAATTGTACCACCACCAATACCATTTGTAAATTCACCTTCATCTTTTTTAGTTTCATCATCAGATTTTCTTAATTTTGAAATTGGATCTGTGGAGGGGATATATTGAATTGATTCAAATAATAAATTTTCAGGTTTTATATCACGATGAACAACACCAACTTCATCATGTAAATATTTAACAGAATTAACAATTTGTATTAGGACATGTTTTGATAAATCTTCACTAAAATAAGTTAATTCCACAATTTTATTAAAAATTTCACCACCATTTAATAATTCTAATATTAAAAAAGTTTTTGATGAAGTTTGAATATAATTTATAAATTTAATAATATTTGGATGATTTAATCTTCTCATTATACTAATTTCTTTTAAGATTGAATCAAGTTGTGATTTATTCATTGAATTTTTATCAATAACTTTAATTGCAACTTCAATATTTAAATCTGAATCAAGAGCTTTATAAACTTTTGAAAAAGCACCTTCACCAATCAATTCTTTAATAATAAATCTTGGTAATAATTCTTTATATTGAGGTAATGAAGGTTTTTTAGGCTCTGGAGATGAAGATTTATGCCTTATAAAGTTCTTAATGTTCTGTGAAAGACTGTTAGTATACAACGGATATGGGAAATTTGAGAAGATAATATACTCACTTCAAAAACGGGCATTATGGAATGATTTATGTATGTGTTTTATATGTGATAAAGGATATGCAGTGAATATAGCGGATAGTTGATATAGTAGCTGTTATGTTTGTTTATTGTTGATGTTTTGTTGTTGTTGTTGATGTTTGATTATAAATGAATGTGGGAACCCGGTTGTTTATATTCTTCTTTGTTTATGTATGAGGGATTATAATCTTAAATTCTCAGGGGATGAATGAGAAGATACTGATATTTCCTATTTGGGATTTGTCTGATGTCTTTGACGTATTTGGTGATATGTTTTGTTTGTTGTTGATAGTAAATTTGATCGAATGATTCAAAGAGTACAAATGAATTTCCATCAAATTATAACGGGAATTCAAATCACGATATTTTTGTTTATATTTATAGCGATTTCAGTTTCATCATTTTCAAATTTTAAAATAATTTTTGGTTTTTTTCGGATTTTCAAAGATTTTCACAAATCGCGAATTTTAGAATTTTGAGACAAAGGTTAAATTTTTATGTACCTGGATTACGTAAATGTTTATGTAATAATGTCTGATTTAATTAATTCTATACAATTTGAACCAATTATTAAGGAATTGGAATCATGATCAGTTGTTATTGTACTAGGGATTCCATTAGTTGTGATGGTGTTTATCAGGGTACCTTCTAGATTGTATTGGTTCAACTGACCTTGTTCTGTCCCGACGAAAAGAGTATTATTAAATATCTCAACACAACATTTATACTCTTTATCCCATGTCTTGTGTAAGTCTAATTGTTCATTAGAAGATAAATTGATGAGGAGTGCATTGTTATTCAATCTATTAACCAAAAGTTTATCATTTTGGATCTTCAATGCAGTTATTGGTGTTTCTAATGGATCTATAATTACTAAACCTTGTCTTAAATCATATGAATATAATGAACCATCATTTGAACCACAAATAATCTTAAAGTCCTCTAATTTATGATCCATACAATTAATTGAATCCTTAGGGTGTGAATATTCTTGAATTGGTTTATAAAATTGATCTTGTCTTAAATCATAAATTTTTAAACATTGATTATCATCAATTGTGGAAATTAAATCTTGATTTAAATATTTAACTTGATTGATTTGAAATTTATTCTCCTGAGGATAAATCCTTCTAATTGGCTTAGTTTCCAATATATCATGTATTGTGATTATATTTGATACAGATGACATATGTTGATCATTTAAATCAATTGAATTTATTATTGAATTATGTCCTGTATAACATAATTGAGCTTGAATAGAAATTGAAGGATTAATCAATTGAATATTGTTTTTCTGTGTATAAAAAATATAATCACTTGTTTTACATTGTATACTATTCACATTATAACTTGTTTCAATACATTCATGTTTCATAATTGTGATGAATTTATGTACACACTGATATCATTAACTACGTAACAAAACTTGAAATTACTATATCAACAAAGAAAAAAACAAAAACAAAACATGACTAAGCGCTTATGTAATATAATATAATAAATATAATTACATCATTTTGACAAGATAATAGAACTTGACATCCCCTCAAAAGTGCATAAATTAGCTGTTTATTTTGTTTTCAATTGGATAAACTATGTCATTTTAACTAAATTTAGATCTTATTTTAGTATATATAAGCCCCCTTTAATTCTCCTCAGATTGTTTTGATTTTGGTTTTCATTTTGGTATGTTTACGTCTAAGCGAAAGTACATGTCACCCATTCGAACCCTATCGGACTCCCTTTCCAAATGTCCATTATAGAAATGATAGACGTACGTATAATAAACCTCAAAATGTCTTCTTATCGTTAATTGTATTCAAAGTACTTGAAATTTGCATTGTAAATCAACTTATTATTTATAAGGGAAGTTGGAACCAAAGAATCAAACAAGGTTAACTGTTATGCAGGTACAAGGATATCATTTCTTCAAGGTACAATCTACGTATAATAGCAACTCAAAATTACTAATTTGAACTTGTATCACACTTGTTTTATATAAGAATGTGACATACATACATACCATACATACATATGTATGCAATTTAGCTGATAACATTTAATGGTTATAAAGTGGATTGGTTGATCCGACAGCTTATAGAGGTGATAAACTCTGGTACCTGTACTTATTTACAGGGATTAATTATATACGATCGATAAAAGTTAAGTATACGAGAAAGTCTAGATCATTGAAACGTTTTTGTAATTGATTATCAGGGGTTAAATGCTTATACGCAGGTATAATCATATATCAATGAAATGAGGTTCTAGTTGCTCCATGGAAAGACGTTGTGGTTAAAGGATATAAATGGACTTTTCTAAATATGTAGTATTCAAAAAGACATATAAGAATAACAGTTACATTGACCTTTGACAAGACATACTACATCAATTATATATGTAGACAAATTGTAATTAATGCTGGACATACATTTTATCAGTTCTGATGAATTCAATTTCTAAAATTTTGAAGTTCTGGTCACTGTGAGTTATATATTGGTTCCCTCTTTTATATTATATATATATTAAGTTTCATCAATACTGCAAACAGCTCATGAGCAAACAAGTAAATGATAGGTATCCCCCATTTTTGTGAATTACCAAATAATGCCTGAGAAATTCATTTAAGCCTTTCAAATCATTAAAACCAAACATATCCAAAACCAGTACATTCATTCCAATTTTTCTTCACAGTTTGTTTGATATAACCTTACTAAAATATTCGAACCTTCTAATATAATGGTAGCTGCTATTCATATTCACAAGTCCTCATTAATATATTGCACTTTTTACTTCTGATCATCTCTATAAGCCAATATTGAAAAAAAATAGCAGTCATTATTAACTCAATATCTTGTTAATAATTGAAATTTTTGAACGATCATAATTGAGATATCTATTCCAATATTTATCTTGTTGATAAAAAGAACTCATTCAAAACATATAGATCCCTAGTCTTGATATTTGAATCAAAAGTTTTGATTTTTGAACGTTCAGATCTGCCCGTGAAGTATGAAGTCATTATTACGCTGCTAATTCATTGTATATACTTTCTGATTAAAGATTGTTCAACTGATTACAGTTATCCAAAACAGCCAAAAATCAGCTTGTAATTCAAAGATTCAAATTAAACTAAAATTTGAATTCAATTTAGATTCGCGAGTTGTCGCCACTTATTTAACCATTTAGCTAAGCTATTCCTTACTTTCAAAAGCTCCAAA